CTCATCTGAGCGAAGGTCTATCCAGAAGGCGACCCCTCGCTCCCTGATCCTTCTTCCCATTTACCTATTTACTCTATTCTTCATTCAAACAAACATCCGTCAGCAATTCTATAAATCGGACCAACCGACAGTCTTCCGCAGAATCCACGAATGAGGCTCGCCAGGAAACAGAATCTCCTCCAGGACTCGCTGCAGCTGAGAGCTCGGATCAGCCGAGCATTTCTCCCCTAACGACCTTTGGGAAAAAACTGTTCCCGCGACACGGAAATTCTGCGTTGTGAACACATAGCACCGCCACAAACCAGCGAAAGTTACACCACACGAGCCGGCCTCCTGGGAACTCTTCTCCCCATCGACAATGAGCTAGGTGAGATGATTAATTGCGGGAGAGGCTGTTTGTTTGGTCTTTTCTCCAAACATGGCCTTCATTGACGGAATATTCATCGATGTTCCCATCGGAAGTCTCGTCGTCAGTTGACGAGAGCAAACAGGAATGCGTACGTCACACCGATGATTTTCCGGGCGGTTTTCTGGCAGAGAAATCAATCAGGGCGAGGTGAAGGATCGCGGAATGATGGATCCGTGAAAGCGGCGGTGCCAGACATTCACGAAAAAAATAATTTCTTCGCATCGTTTCGGTGGGAACAGCAAGTCGAGAAATCGACGATAGTGGAAACTTATCGGAATCGCGGAAGAAACGATTATCAGAAGCGAAGAGAGTACTCCGATCTTCCCTCAGTCGGCATCACGGATTGTTGCCGTGCCCCGCCGAGCTCGATGCCGTCTACGCTCGAGTTTCCCGGGGCGTGACTCTCTTGGTTTTCACGTTCGAATAGGATGGACAAGGCGCGCTCCTATTCCGGATCTAGACGCAGTATCCGATTATTTCGATAAGAAACTTCTCTGACTTCTTTTCTACGAATCGTTCCGAGACAGGAGATCGCTTCCGTTTAAATAGGGCCACCCCAGCGACGTCAACGATTGGAAGACGCACAAGGGGTCCTTACTATGCCCGCCGCCCGCTCGTTGTTAGCTTGCTTGCTCGCTCTGATGATTTCGCGGTGCGCACAAAGTCGAACAAGTGTTGGAAGAAGTCTTTTTTCTTCGGCCCGACTCCGCCAACTAGCCGGCTGCCTCGCTGGCTGGCTGACTGACTGACTGACCCACATTCTTCGTCAATGGACATCTTCCAAACGTCAGCTGGTGAACGTCGAACGAGCGCTCCCGACGAATCATCCTCTTTTCGGCGGCGAGCTTTTGCTTCTGTCTTCGCGATATGCATGCTAATGTAGGAATTCCATTTCTGCAGCTGTCAACTTGTCAAGAGCGAGGTCGGCTGTTTCTGGCGCGGCTCTCGTCGTTGTTTCCCGCTTCGATTGTTTCATCAATACGTGTCGCAGGATGCAGGAGACTCTCTCGGATCTTCCGTGTCTCCGTTCCTCGCCTCCCCCTGTTCTCTCTTATTATGTTTGCGGTGCGCTGGTTCGGGAGGAGGGGCGGGAGTCCGTCAGTAGTCCGGCTATCATGAGAGAGAGATGGAGAATTATAGGGCTCTCCAGAGAGATAAGACTCTCGATCGTCTCGGGAGTTCTCCAAGATTTTCCGTGGTCGCCAGCGGGGCTTCGACAAAAGCCAGCGGGATTCCACACGGTGGAATTCCGTCCGCGATGCCATAAGGCTGAATCGAATGTGCACGAGATGAGAAGATTGCGCCGAGAATCGGCAAATCGGCCAATGGCATTGTTGGATAGACGTATTTCAACTGATAAGGAGGTGAGCCGCGAACAGACACGGCATCCTTGAAGCCTGAGCCGGGACTTGCTGGTATTCGGAACTCTTAGCGGCAGGTATTCTAACATTTTTGACAACAACATCTATCGGACCACCACTCGCAGTCCATCAGATGCAATGATCACGGCTGTGATCGTTTCGAATTATCACAGAATTGCAGCTTCCGAGGTCCCCGATGCCCTCAGGTAAAACGGAACGAAATCAAAGTCTCGCTCGGTGACTTGTAACAATGACAAATATTGCCGGCGTCGAGAACGAACGCAAGTCACGCCGAATAATTTTGCCCCTTAACAAGGCTCAGACAAGAGCCGGTGAGCGGAGGGAAGACTAAACTTTTGGAACAAAGCTCTACTTGCATTCTGTTCCGCCAGACGACGGAGAAAAGCTCTCTGAAGTCGAAGCATCGGCGGTCTTCTCGAGATGGTTCGAACGGACAACTAGACAGGCAGAGGTAGTCCTGGATACTGCCGAGAAATTATGCACATCGCCTGGGAATATATCAGCCAGAAAAAGGGAGCCAGAAATAGCCAGAAATGCAAAGAGGGTCCGCCCGGGCTGCTCGCAGAACGAGTCGATCCTCGGTTGATTTCTCTTACCTCGGAACCTAATCATTGAGCGAATAGGAGCTCTCCAGCTCCGTGTCCTCGGAAGCCAGATAATTCCCTCAGCCTTCCAGCTGACTCATTGTCCTTCAGCGGAGAGCCCGAGGACTCTGGAACTATTTGAGTTCTGAGGGTCCGAGATCGTTTCAGGAGCGTGATATCCCGGAGAACTCTGGCGCTGCGACACCGTCTCTGTTCGATACCATGAGCGGCCTCGATCCCGGGACTGACCAGAGAGAGGAGAAGGAGAGAATGTGGGAGATCGGGATCAATGCGAGCGAGGGAACGAAACGCCGAATGAATCTGAAGATGCCCGCCTCCGAAACGATGAGTTTTCGTTAGGTCTCCAGATCGTATTCGGTAATGGGATTCAGAGACAAATTCCACGTGGATCAGAATTGGAAGTAGGGCGTAGCCCGTAATTTTCGCGTAGGACTAGCGGGGAAAAGCTTGGAATTCACTTGAAAAAGTTCAGAAATTCCTATTCGAGGGGCTCCGATTCCAGCACAAAAGCCAGAAGCTCGGATTCTCCTCTGTCGAATATCAGAAGATATCCAGATCCGGATTCATAATTTCTTCGATGGCATCAAGCGAGACGCTGAAGAGACGTCAGGCTCTCCGCGCCGTGTTGAAATGAAGCAGCAACCTTTAGGCAGATGTTGTGCTAATTTTTCCTGTGTTCGTTGCGTCACGGGCCAGGTGCCCATGAGGGGCTCCCTGCACAGCTTTTTAGCATGTTTTCTTCCTTTTTTCTTTGTCTTGAGTCTCTGTTTCGTTTGCCGCTCATTCTTCAGATGGCAAGCAATTGATTCGATTTGGACGTTTCGAAACGCCGTTTTCCGGTCGCAGCGAGGAGATGACGCCGCTTTCTCGTAGCCGAGGGCTTGGCTCCAGTCTGCATTTAGAACAATCCAACGTCCCTCCAGATGTGAGCTGAGGCAGGCAGCACGGCGCTCAGGAGCAAATGATAAACAAAAAACAACTCTGGAACACCATCATCTGAATTTTCGAAATGTCGTATCCCGAATTTTCAACGCTCAGACTGCTCGCGGGAAAATCATCCGACTATCAGAAAGTCGTTTGCCGCTAATTCAGAGTCTGGATTCTTCAGCTTCGTCTCGAAAGAGCCTGGCAACTTCACTTCAGGGCCGGCCAGGCGAGATTCACTTTCGAGAAGCGCCGTCCTTGATCCTCGTATTAGAGGGGCTCGATTCCTCGACTCGGAGTCCTCTCTCCCTGTTTCCGCCGAACGTTCAGAAGCCCGAGGAACCCGAGCTCCGCTCTTACGGGGAGAGCTTCTACGATGGCTCAGGTGTCATACCCGCCATGTGAGCGGAGCGTTTCCACCTCACGCAAGTGTTTGACGGACTATCGAGTTGTAGTTTCCGAGCCGATGGCGAACGCCGCTCGTTAGTGGTTCGACGATTCCCGACTCCAGTCCGCTTAAACCAGACGTCACCAGGCCTCGCTGACATCCATTCTGACAGCGAGACGGCAGTATCCGTGTGCCGGTCGGACGTTCGGTCGTTCGTCCCTTCGTTTGTCCGTCTGTCGGTTCGTCGTCTGACTTCACTTCCGCTTGATGATATGCTCGTTGTTTCGGAACGGGGAGAAGCTCTTCGAATACTGCACTGGGTGGATTCAAACCTCGAAGCGTGAATCTAGAGATTTCCGAATGACAGTACACCATGTCTTGAGCTCGTATACCAGAGGGTAATTCCAATTAGACGACGATATTTTTCTCCCTCCAAATATAAAAGCCTTGGTCCAACAGGCGACAGACAGGAGGGCACGCAACAAGAAAACGGCCAGTGAGCCAACGGACGGAGCAGTCAGTCGAACGTTTTCAACGGCCAAAAAACGGTCTTTCTGCGACTGATATCTACCACTGCGATCCGATCCCTACGGGCTGACAACAGATATTGATAGTTGACCTCTGAACGCTGCCTTCTTCTCCAGAAGTTCTCGTCGTGTTCGTGGAGGAAATATTTTCCCCGCACGGGTCCACATCCGAGGAAGAAATCTTTCCATCGGTACAATCCACAGCGAATCCGTTCGGGACCGCGTTGACCGCTGTTCGAACATCACAGCCGCGTAATTACATGGATAATTCAGATTTTACTTTTTAAAAAAACAGCTCATGCGGAGGCGCGCCGATATGTTTTCGGTTTCGGCTGAACGAGCCGTGGAGCGGTCGGTGACGCCGTGCCGTCTCCTCGTCCCCACATTGTGGGACGAAGTCTCGCGGTCCGGACCCGACACCGAGCCACAGCCTTAGCTGTTCGCTTATTGCTCCGCTGAGCTCGGTAGCGCTCAAAGCAGATAATAAATCGAATCGGAGTCCATCAAAGACTCCTCGGCTCGCGATCGACAACTCCGGAGCTGCCCGGTCGTTTCCCGGCGCGGTTCTCGCTCTGATCGCCGCGGTGCGATCTCTGCGCCAATGCTCTCTCGGCGAGCGAAATAAGTCATAGATATAGATTCTGAATTTATCTGTCAACGGGAATCGGTCGCTCGCTCGTGCGTCCGCTGATTTTCTCGAAGCGATGCGGGCGAGCTCGCTCGTATGCGCTATCTGGCGGTCTCGATTATCTGCAGCGGACTTACCTTGATCATAGGAATCCGAGATCCTCGACCGTCAGTCGTAACGTCCACTTTGAAGAATGGAAACACGGCGTATTCCTTCATCAGCGATGAGAGCGTCTGATCGAATTTCCAAGACGACGGCTCGTATGATGTAGCCGAAATCGCTTCCCAGCCTCCCATCTGTCTGATTAGGGTGATCATATTGGTATCGGGAGTCGTGGATACGCTCCGCTCGTCGAGACACGACTGCAGGAACTTCGCTATGTGACTTCGGACGGTCGTCGCCGAATTCTCCTCGTCCGGTGAAATAGCGTCAACGATCTGTTTCGTACGCAGTCGAATCTTCTCACGAGCCTCGTCCAGGAGGTCGATCCGCGTCAACGTGGAATTGAGCGGATGCCTCGAGAGAAATCCTCCGCAAGCGAACTGTTGGAAATCCTGGCACGGGTCTTGCGTCGGGTCCATGTTACGTATGATGTGAGCGGCACTATGGAGACATTCCGGAGTGTAGCAACGACCGTGGAGGTCCGAAGACGTCGTGTTGACTTTGACAGCGAGCACGACGATTATCAGGAAGAACACCAACAACAAAATAGCCAATAGAATCAACAGACACCGCCGCCTCTCCTCGGGGGGTGCGTTGCGTATCTTGAGGAACTTCCATCGCGGTATTCCGTTGCTGTCTCCGTGATGGTTAGCTTCACTTTCCATGTCCATACACTTTGCGTTTTCGTTCGGTTCTTCGGCTCCCATACCGTGCTCGGAGCAAGAACGCTGGCTGCGTCAACGCACGACGATCCGGCGGATGTGAGACACTCACTAAAACTATACGTACGTAAAACACGTTACCGGACTCGGAATGCTTCGCTTCAACGGACACCTTTTAGCTACCGAGCGACTACCCCGAATGGTACCCAACGCCGAGGAGCTTCTCTAGCGCCGAATAAACTCTTTCCACCGTGGATCAGTACGGCGGCATCCCCGGCGCCCTTTCTCCGCATGCCGCGGACAGACTCTTCGACTTGCCGCCAGATGGCTCTGGCAGCTCCCATCAGTGGTCTTGGGGCGGAGAAGGCGCCAAAACTCCGAACCACTGGAAAAACGCCGGAATCCCGTCTCCCTCGGTCTTAGCTCATGATCAGTGTCCGGGTGGAGTCGGAATACCGTCTGATTCCCCTTGTATGAGCTCCACGGTCTGCGATGAGGAAATGATAAGCACCGAATCCTCGAGAGAACTCCAAGGTGCCCGGATAGCATCCCAGGCTTCCATCCGGAGGGGAGAAGAACTTTCTTGTGGAATTTCGATCCCCTGAGCGGCAAAATTCCATCCTTATCCGAAACCGACCCGTAGGTAGGGCACTGAATCTCATTGCGTAACTGGGTGGAATCGCTCTATTTTCCGAGAAGCGTTTGACAGAATCCGACCTCCCACGACCTGGAAAGTCTAAAAAGTTGCGGATTGGTGCTCTCATCTGCGCAGAGTGGACGGAACCGACCCCGGGCCAGTTTTTTCCGAAAGCACGTATGTGGACTCAGGAATTCTGTAAGGAGACGATTTCAATCTATGCTGACAGAAGACAGAAGGGTGCGGGAAGGAATATGGGTTTTTGGGTTATAATTCTCGAAAACATCTGGAGAGAAACCTCTTTTGATTAAGACGTTCATTCCATCCTGGGTATCGATCGAGGGCGCGGTTGGTGAGATATTCGAATCTTGGCTCGTTTGGCGACACGCGACGTTTGAGGATATGCGGCCCAATCAGTTTCAGATAGGGAAACATTCGAGTAGACTTGACCGACTCGAAAGCATCGCCTCACAAAGGCTGTTCTGCAACACGGATGTGTTTCCTCGGGATGCCGAATTCGGTATCGACCTTATTCAGAGACATGCCAGAGGCGAACGACTTTCCAAAGCCAAATCTGTGGGTCCGCTACTCTAGACAACAGAGGCCAAGTTGATCGTCGTGAATCCACAGAATGCGTTTTCCGAATCATGCGGGCTAAGGCACGTCTTCATTTTTTCGAAAACAAGACGATTCCAGAAATGTATGCACACTCATGAATTTGAATCAGTCGTATGACTAACTTAGGGGCAGCCCTCGTCCGCACGGCTCTCAAACATGATGGAGTAAGACTCGAGGAGTAGGATAACTGAAATTCCGCTTTCGCATTCCCGTCGAGTCCTCGAAGGTTGTCCCGAAAGCGTTAGTGAATGATAAGAACCACGTTTCGGAAGTCGCGGAAGTCCGGCGATGAGGGGAGGAAGGTTTAAAATCAGCTGTGTGATTTCGCGGATATCTCTGGAAGTTGCCCTGTCAACCTTGTGACGGCTGAACTGTGCCGCTCGTCATTTCGTCATGGGTACTCTACGGTTTTCGCGCTTCTAAACTTCAATTGGCTCCCACTGCCCACAGCTCCACAGGCTCGGACCCGGTCATTGCCTGCCCCAATCTGATATCTATGTACGTAGGCACCGCATCCAGTCGCATCTCTTTCCAGTTGGTGGGTAGCTTTGTTTTTCACGCAGAAGTACGTCATCATATGCACTTGGCTTAATTAGTTTGGTGGGACGTGGCACGCAGAGGGATAGGTCGCTCAACGCGGATACTTCAGCAGGCTGGCTGAAATTCCAAGAAAGAACGTTGGAGCCGACAGCAATGCCGAACGAGGTCTGGGCATCGCCTTATTCTGCCGTGAACTTATCCGTTGGGCGAGGAAACCCGCCCGGTGACGTATGATTTGATCAAAGTTGACGCCGAGCTTGCGGTTCTGCAATAATTATCCAGAGATCATTCCCAGTCGCCGAAGTCAGGAAACGTGAGTTCTGAGCTCTTCGGGCGCTGCGAGGTCCAGCGCGAAGGCTTTGTGAATCATTGAGCAACGCACGCAGACAAGTCTCCGGAGCTTCTGCCGCTCCATCGAACCTCGGACCGTAACCGAAATAGAAGCTCCATCGTCTTCAGAGAGTATATTAACAAGACATCCAGCGCTTATACAACGTGTGAAGTTTTTAGTCTCCCCAATAGGTACACCGAATCGAGACTGATTCAAGTCGCAGGAGAGGTTTAATTTTGAAAATACGAAGACCATATTCCGGCCTCTCCGACATTGTCGAGAGCTGTATTGGTCGCTCATCGCTATCGCTTATCCCAACAAATGAGTACGAGCATGGTTCAGCGGACGATTATCCTTTCCTTCTCATGCATAGATGCGCTGACAAGCCATCTTGCAAGGATGGATCGCAGAGGAATAGATCAGGACATTCCTCTGCATCTGTCCCTCGGACTCCAGACAGAGCCAGAGCTTAATCCCCGCGCAGCGAGCCCAGAATAGAGGAGGGGAATTTTCGGCTCACCGGCTATCGACCCCGTGAGCGTTCGGCGTTTCGCTCAAATACTTGCAAACAGGACCGTTCCTAGCCCATCGCAAGGAGCTCGGCAGGTTTTCATGACAGTTGACGAAAATGACGGCAACCGTTTCCCATAGCACCGAGGACCGTGAGTTTGTGAGCCGGCTGGGAGGCGCAAACTTCGACGAAACTGCAGGCGAGACTTTCGATGATTCTCCTCGCGTTCGTCTCCCTATCCTGTGTCAAGACGCTACATCGCTATTCGGTGAAGATAAGCTCGGAGGCCAGGTCTTGGGAAACGTGATCCTCCTATCAAAGCCGCGTGACAATTAGAACATTTATTCACAGGTTCTGACTTCAATTATTCCCCACACTTTATGCTCTCTGTGCGGTTCAGATTTACATCAGCAAGGTATCATCGATGTCCTCGGCTTGTGGAGCGCCCCCGTTCTTCTGAGCAGTTCGAATCAAGGTTTTCTGGTAGACATCCAGCAGAACTTCCCGTGAGCCTCCTTCGAGAGTCGACTCCAAGTCTTTCAGATAAGGTGTCTTCGTTTCGTCATGGGCGCCAGTCATCTGAAATCGAACACGACGATACAGGACGATCGGAGTTATCATCTGACTTCAAAAACCGAGTCTCGACTCTGCTTGCAAGCTTTCAAAGGTACTCACCCCCAACATTGCAATCAGGGCGAATTCACAATTGGCCCTCACCTGCAGATAGAAGGAATGATTGATTTTCGGAACTTTTCTGCATTGGGAATTTTCTTTCTAGCTTTCCAAGAACCTAATTGAAAAAATGATTCCTCGCGGGTCGGTGGGAGAGTAAGAACCCGCTCTTGAAAACTATTCTGAGCATGGATCTTCCTCGCGGGTAATCAAGTCAACCGCCGGACGTACCACAGTATTTTTCTCCTTCGTTCCATTGACAAGCTGCGGAACCAAGACCTTGGCTGTACAAACGGGCACCTGGGCATGGGAGCAGACATAATGTACCACAACGCCCATCAGCTGCTTGATTTCTGTCAAGTTGTGATTGATTGTCTGAAAATGAACAAGAGAGAATCCTTTATCGAAAACTCCGGATGATGATTGAGTCTGAATCGTGCTGGACCCCGACTCGAGTTCAGGAGTGCGGATCCCGCCTCACCTTCGCGAAATTCGTCAACAGCTGAGTCGGGAAGGTGTTTCCGGACGACGAACAGAATAGAAGAAGATATCCGCATGCGCGCAGACTACTTTCGGCAATGACCGGCTTGTCAGATGCCAGGAGCGTGATGAGACTTGATTCGATTGCACTGCAAAATTCGCGGCGTAAACGTTGGAACGGAGCGTCTCAGATCGGTATCCGCTCGACTGGTGATCAGATATCTCTCTCTCCCATATTGGAGAAAGCTATCTCGGGTTTGAGAGACTCACGCAAGATATTTCGGCACGACTGTCTGCGGGAATTCCTTTAGGAGGATCTGGATGCTGACAGCCCTGAAGTGGCTCGTTGTCCAATCCGAAGCGGGTGACGTATCTTTGGATGGGACAACGAATCAAATAATCATTAATCATTATTATATTCGACTATAAGACGGAGAACAAACCGGAAAAGAGTTCGATATTCGGTCATTCCCGGAGGACGTCCGCTGAACGTACCGAAGACGTAACTGGATGTTATTGTGTTTAGTTCCTCCGGAGGAAGAGCCCCACAGAGAGCTCCCAGACAGGCAGCCGCTTGTCGTCGGCAGGCGTCCTCACTCGAGGTCCCGTATTGCGACAGCGTAGACACCAAGGCCCTACGGATTGTATCCGCGATGGCCGTAGGGTTCGAGGAGCATATCTTGACTAACACGCATCTCAAGGCATAGAGCATCGTCTCTCGGATAGCCGGATCGTCCACAGTTTTCACCTGAAGCAGAAAGCCTAGATCAAGTCGCGAATTCCAACTTTCAGGAGCGTGACCGACACGAAGGACCCCGCTAAAGAAATGCCGAAGAGAAAACGAGCCCCACCTGATTATGCAGCTCCTGGACTATGGTCGCCGGTTTTGGGTAGATTTTCGTCAGACAACCCAGAGCCACGGCACCGTGAAGCCGGACGTTTCTGTGAGCGTCGGACAGCGCTCGATTGAAAGTGGAATAAAGTTGCGGCAGGAAAGGTTTGAGTTGCGTATCGACTTTGTTCAGAACAACGGTCAGAGTATGGAGAACGGCCGTTTTCACGGTGTGAGCGTAACGGTCGCCCAAAACTCGGATCAGTGGTCCCGTGAAATTACTGACATACTTGTGCGAGAGGCTTTTCGGTTCTGTGAGCTTTATCAGCTCGCCGAGACCGACGGCAGCTGCCTCTTTGAGTTCTGGACTGCAGTTGAGCAGGGCTTCTTTGTAGATGAAAATTATCGGCTCGGCGCCTTTGACCGTACACAGGCCGGGCAGGTGCAGCTCGTCTTTCCGCATCGACGACGACGCGCTTCTGACGGCGCTCCGGATCTCCATGACGTAATTGGCCTCTTCGCTCATTCTTATCTGCTTTACGACTGCCAGCAAGGCTTCGCTAGATAGAGTGAGGATGTTGGGGTCCTTGTCGAGGTAGAGCCGGATCAGGTCCTTCATGAGGATGACGAAATGCTTCTCGAGCGAGGCCTTGGTGTTCGTGCAGAACGCGCAGAGGATCGCCACGCAGGCTCTCTTCATGCGCGGATCGCTGGTCCTGCTAGCCGCGAGAAGCGTCTCCACGATCACCTGAATGCATTCGGCGTCCGTCGTCGACAGGACGACCGATCGGCAATAGCCGAGCTCCTCAACCTCTTGCGGTGTGTCGAGGGCCCCGGAGAACGCCAGAAGCAGAGCGTCGAGAATCCGCGGGAAATAATTCACGAGCGCGTCGCCTTGCGCCACGGAGAAAATGTACGAGAGGGCTTTCGTGTTGACAGGTGGCTTGGTGAGTTGCGGCACGAGATGCGGCAACATGTACCGGGATCTCAACATCATCACCTGTCTGAGACCGTCGAGGGTGTTTTCGGCGAGGACGCGATCTTCGCTCTCGATATTGTCGAAGAGCGGCGTGATGATCTCCTCGAGGGCGCGAGGACCGACGGCCGTGTGGAGACTGTCGAAGGTCTTGGCCGCGGCGCAGCGGACCTCTCTGAGAGGATCACAGAGCGCTTTCCTCACCGTCGGGACGAGATTGTCGAGGAAATGGAGAACCATCGCGCGCGGGGTGCACGCGACGATCTCGCTCAGCCCGATGCAAACGCCTTGCCGCTGATCCGCGTCGTCAGAGTCGAGCCCGCGCTCGAGAATCGGCATGATCTCCGGGAGGACTCGTTCGCCGAGTTTGCGAACGAGATCGCCGAGTGTCTTGGCGGCGATTTGCTGCTTGTCGTGGGAGTTACTCGCCAGGAATCCGAGCAGGAGCGCGAACATCGTCGGCAGGATCTCCCGGAGAGTTCTCGGTGTGTTCGAGACGACCACCTTCCACACGTGAATGGAGGCCTGTCTCACCATGAGCGACGTGTCCATCCGTCCCATGTACAGTCCCGAGAACAGTCTGTTCATTCTTCCGGCGCCGAGAGCGCCGGAAATGGCCGTGTGCGACTGTTCTGTTCCAAAGTTGTCGTCTTCGTCGGCCGTTTCCGTGGTCATTTTGCCCGAAACGCCCGAGATCTTGTAGAGAAGGTCGCCGATCAGCTGCACGGAACTCAAGCGGATCCTCCAGTTATCATCGAAGAGACCTTTCTCCAGTTCGGGCAGGAGCAACTGAATTGCCGTCTCGGCGTACATGGCCACGATCCGCTGGCCCGCCAGGAGAGCTGTGTCCCGCACGAATTCAGTTTCGTCGGCGAGTCCCTGAAGGATTGGGTTGATTATCTGGGCGATGTAGGGGGTGAATTCCTTTTGGAAGACCAACGGCAGATAAATGAACATCATGAGGTATCCGTCGCGGAAGTGGGGTTCGAGGTCGGCGCGTTCGGCCGATTGGATCAGCTCTGGCATGACGACGTGGAGACGTTGGACGCCCATGCCCCCGATGACTTCGGCCAAGCCCTGCGCAGCTCCTGAACGGTCTACCGGCGAGGCTTCCGACGTGAGAGTCTCCATCAGCCAGGGAACCAGATTGTCGAAGCATTGCTCGCCGGTTCCCTTGATTATCGTACCTAGAGCTCGGGCCGAGACGGTTCGAACTTCGGGCACGGGGTCCAGTAGGCATGTCTTCAAACCAGGCAGAATCGACGGGTAGTAGGGCATGAGATCTTTTTGGTCAGTGAGGGAATACATGTTACCGATGATCTGGGCCGCCATTTTCCGGGTTTCGGTCGACCGGTCCTGGAAGGCCCTCTGGATGACGGGCATGATGAGAGCGAGGGACGGAGCGTCGATGAAATGAACGAATCTCGTTTCCAGCAACGTGTTGAGGGACGACTGTGTCCGGTTCGACGGATCCTGCAGGGCCTCGAGCAGGGTCGCGACGATGGCTTGGATCTCGGGGTTCTTGATTACCTGACCGATTTGGGACAACGCCTGAGCTCCCGCTTGTTGGACCTTGACATGCGAGTCCGACAGTACCTGGATCAGTTTCGGAACGACCGTGGGCAAGCACGTGCTCAACTGCTTCGGAGCACAGTAGGCCATGCTACCGAGGAGTTCGACGGCACCGCACTTCGTTCGCCAGGAGTCGTCTTCGAGGGCTTCGAGGAGAATCGGGAGCGTCATTTTGACCCCGTGGCCCGTCAGGTGTCTCATGATGGCTTTGGCGGTGGCTTCGGTCGCTTCACGTACGTACTGATTGGAGTCGCCGTAGCAGGCCAGCAGATGACCCAGGATATGGACTATGTAGGGTTCGAAGAGTTTGCCGAGCACGTTACAGAGAATCTCGAAGGCGAACAGCGCTCCTTCTTTCTTGCGTACGTTCTTCTTATCCTGAATGGCGTCGGTGAGCTTCTGCATGATCTCCATCTGCTTCAGAGATAGAATTCCCAGGCCTTTGACGAGACCCGCGAGTCCGTAGGCGGCCCCGCGTCTCTCTCCGTAGTTCTCTGAATTGAGGAGGACCGACATGAGATTGTTAATAAGTCCGAGAGCTTGTCCCCTCACGGCTGGAGCCAGCGGAGGGAGGCAGGAACTGACCGCCTCTTGAACCGACTGCGAGGGAACTGTGAGGAGTTCCAATAATCGTCGAACGATTGGTTTGACCCGATCGTCGTTTTTGTCGAGATGTTTAGCCAGGGCTCCCATCAGAATGACCACACTCTGTCTAACCTTATCGGCGGTCGGGGTCTGCTCGGCGCTCTTCAAATACGCGTCGATGAGGGCCAACAAAGGGGAAACGCTGTTCTTGCCGGCGGCATCGACGATGGCCAAACCAGCGTCGAGCATTTCGGCGCCCACTTTCGAGTTCGGATCACCGAGTCCTACCGGAATCAAGAACTTGAAGACGTTGATGACTAGCTGCTGGTCGACGATGTTGGGTGCCATGCTCCTTATGGCGTGCGCCACGCCCCAACGGGAGTACCATCGATCGACCCAGTTGGCATCGATCAGTCGTCCGAACTGATCCCGTTGCGGCTCCGAGTCCAACATGAGCACTTGGTACTGCTCAGCGAGACCGGCCACTATGGATCCGATCAGATCCGGGTGGATGGCTGTCAGCAGCGACAAGGCTTTGCCGGCAGCAAGACGAGCGTGGCTCTGGGATTTGACCGCGCCGCTCACGAGGAGGTCGGACAGTTCTTTCGAGGCTTCAAACTCCAACGTCTTCCAGAGGATCTCGGCTTCGAGTCGAACCATCTCATCGGGGTCGCACTTGAACATCCACGTGCTCTTGGCAACGGCGTCCAACGCGCGGCCAGAGGTCTTGTTCCCGTTCGAATGGAGCGCTTGAAGAGCCTTGAAGCACATTTTCCGTACGAATTCGTTTGGGCAGTAGAGTAGCTCGAGAATGCCGTCGACCACGTCCAAGCTCGGGGGGAAAATGGAGAGGGATTTGCAGACTCCCGAGATGGCGATCTCGACCTCATGACGCAACGAGGAGTTCTGACCCATAACCAGGAGGGTGTATATCACTTCGGCCGAGCATAAATGACTAGGATTGCACAGGGCTGTGGAATCATCATCAACGTCGTAATCCTGGATATAATAGCACTGGATTAGTTCCAGAGCCAAGCGACTGGTGTCCTCGTTGACGCTCATCTGGAGCACTTCGGACAACATCGGGAACATGAGGTTGAAGAACAGGGAGTTGACTTTCTGAAGTTGTTCGGCGATTTCATTAGCCATCACCTCGTGGTATTCGTCGTTCCGCTCCCCGACGACGAAGGTGTGCAGCTCTTGAACGGTTCGTTGAAGGGTCTGACTCAGGGGCTCTTCCTTCCAGTCCCGATCGATATGGGCTTTGATGTCTCGTTTGACTCGTAAATTCGCGTAGAAAACACTCAGACCGAGATATCGTTGTGGAGCCGATAGATTGATGAGTTCGTAAAGCAAATCCGCCATTGGGTTCGCCGCCAAGTGGGAACATAACAAGTTTTGGATTTGTTGAACCAGCGTCGTCGTTTGCGGAGCTAGGTGCAACATGATCAATTCTTTCGGGAGGTCGCACGTCAACAAGGACATCAGAACGCTTTTTGCGTTGGTGACCTTTACGTTGAGCTCACCGAGTCTTTTACGGATGACGGTTTCCTTCTGCAGCTGTACCGCCAACGCTTCTTTCTGCTTTGGCGTCAGCGTGACTCCTTTTTTCTTATCGCTGATTCTCTTCAGCTCGAGTTCGAACATCTGATCTTCGTAAGAATAGGCTTTGCTCTCGCGTTTAATATTTCTCTCAGGGACCTCGCGGGCTTCCCCGATGCAAGTTTTGTCGAAAACTTCATCTTCGGGAGCGTTGAAGGTCTGTACTTCTACTTCGGTGACTTGCAGAATAACAGGATCACTAATACTCTCCCTGAAGAAATTCGCAACGTTCGGGAAAACTTTCTCGGGGAAGAAACTGGCGAGCGACGAGAGGCAACGCAGTCGTTTTTCGTCGATGGTCTCGCTCGGCGTGAGCAGAGTCTTCTGTAGCTCCTCTACGTCGATCTTCCCCAGAGGAACTTGCTGAAGCTCGAGTATTTTCGGCCACACGTTCACCGAAACCGAGTGGATCGGAACGATCGCCTCTTGGACGAGACGCAAACTTTGAGCTTCACTGAAAGCTTCGTTCACGGCGATTGCCACAATGGCCTGTGGTGCCGTCGGCTCTTTGACGACGAGATCGATCTGATTGAGAAGGTACAGGGCGAATTCGACCCCATCGAATTTGGACGATTCCCGGGGAGCGCAGATTCTTTTGACCACGCTGGTCGCTTTTGCCCGCAGATGGCGTTGGGCGTCAGTCAGGCTTCTCAAGATCACAGACGTACACGCTTCGAACGGTGCGCAGACTCCCACAGGATTATCCACCGTCAGCAATTCGACAAGTTCCAATCCGATCGATTCGAGCACCGAGTTGTTGACCGTCGACCAATATTTGTCATTCAAAAAAGGCAAGCTATCCGCCGATGTCGTTGTCTGGACTAGCATCTTGAGTGTTTCCTCATCTGTGAAGATCGATAAAGAATAGTAATTTCCTGCGCTCATTTCCCAGGCAGGAAACTCATAGAGTTATCCCTTTCCGTACTGCGCCCCTCGCTACTCACTTGGTTGGACTCTGGCTGCGAGTTTGAAAAGGATGCACGTCGCCACAAGGTAGAGGGGATAGCTGGCAGCCGCCCCTGCCTTCGTTTGCGAGATTCTCAGATGGTCCTCGAGGGTTTTCACGAATTTCGGTCTATCCTTCGGCGCAGCATTCGTGAGAGCTGACAGATAACAATTGAAGTAGGCGACTTGAATTGTTGTATTTGAGGTCTTCAGCGTGATTCCCGACTCGATCAAGCAGTCCAACTCCTTCGGCACAACAGTGACTTTCGAGCACCACCTGGAAATCGGGTCCAACATGCTGAACTCGATGCTACGGGACGATCGCCGGGACGCTGGTATTTTAATAAGCTTCGGATACCGAAGGGTATGGCAATCAGAAATGCCGCGAATAAAGTTGAAAATCATCGAAAGCCTCCTTGCAGTATTGTTCCTGAGCCAAATTATCTGGATAGCGGGATGAACTCACACAGCGATTGTGGCCAGAATCTCGAGGATCACTTGTTCGCTAACTTCATTTTTGAGGACGGGATTCATTCCGACGATGACGGCGGACACGAGATTCGAGTCGCGCGCGACTTTTTCCGGCAGAAGATCTCTGACCTGTCTGAGACATGTCACGACCGATAACTTCTGTGCGACCGTGGAGAGCTTGCCTTCTACACCCCCAAGGACAGCTAACAAGTAAGATATGATTGTGCCAGCCGCGATGGGGGCAGGACATCTTTTCGCGAGAGACAGGAGAGCGCTGCGTCCTGCAGCCTGAATCGCCTCGTCCTGAGACACCACGGACGATCCGCACATCTTGCTCAGCATCACCACTTCGGCACTGAGGTCGATCGATAGCGCGGAGAATATATCCGACATGCCTGCGGAAGCCAAAAAAAGTTTTTCAGACTCGGCATCATCCCGCTAATCCAGAAGCTCGGCCAAGAAAAAAAAAAACGGGAAGAGCCTTCAGGTCTTGGATATCGATTCCCATGGTACTCACTTCCGATCATAACCTCGGGACCTCGCAGCATTTGTCGGTGCAGAGGGGGCATGATAGATCCTTTGAAATCCTCAATGGTGTACCTGAGGGAAAAGGAGCGAATCTTGATGACCTCACAACGAACGGCCGCGAAAATATCGGGGTCCTGCGAGTCTATGTCTCATACCTCTCCAGAACGAATGACCAGCTCGTTGAGACCCAGGTCGGCACGCCCGTTCTTGCCGCGAGCAGGGACGTCAACGTTTCAAGAGTTTTAGGCTTGAGCTTATCCGCAAGTATTGAACCCTCAGACCAAGCGGATAGATGATGGTAAACGAAGTTCCACACGACCATCTGCTCGTCCGCAGGCAAGCCGATACGGTCCAGCACCGTAACGTAAGACTCCACGGAAACCCGCTTCAAGTACGCGGAAAAATTTCGATAAACCGGTGAGATGAAATTCTTGCGCCCTGCTTTCGAGACCCAAACCAGGAGTTGAGCCACGCATTTGTTCTGAAAACAAGAATTCAGAATCGATAAGGTTTTAGTTTATTCGGACACCGGCTCCTCTCTCGGCTTCTATAGGCGAAACGAGATCATCCTCCGAGTTCGGGAATCGATCTAGCTCCATCAGACCTCGTGCCGTGCTCACCAGGGGGTCGTGGCATTCATTCTCGGTTGGAACGACTTCGAGTAAGGCCAGCGTGAGTCGGAGGGATAAAACGGCGGTTTTCCCTGATTTCGGAGCGACATGTCCGTTTGCTCCTTTTGACGTGGTTTGCAGTGTTTTCGTCAAAACGATGACGCACTTCGAGGACTTCGTCGCACATAGTCGGACGGTATCTAGAAGCAAATCTCGCGACGCGGCGTCGAAATACGTATACACGGCCCCTGAAATTAAAACTCGTCACTATGTAGACTACGGACCGAATCCCTCAAAGCCTGGAAGAAATTCGAATAGTGAGCTCGAAACGTTCCGGGACTTCGACCACCCACCTCTGACGAAGAGAGCGAGTTTCACGAGGTCTTCCTGAGCAACTTGATCCTCTTTATTGATGAAGTAGTCCCCAATCGATTCGAGGCCCTTGCGTCTGTCTTTCTGCGAAGAAGAGCCCGCGAGCCTGATGTACTCCCCGATCGTGTCTTCCGTCTGATCCTGCGGAATGAATATAGGATTTATGACTATCGCACGCGAGTCGTTCCTGAACCACGACGAGAGCGTTTGAGATCTCGGAGCTCCTGTGACCGAGTTTGGGAGATGATCTGTCTCTACGGAGAGCGCTTCATCAATTTCCAACGACAGCTGGCGTCGGGGCGCGGAAAAAAGTTTGTAATCGTCGCGCAGACTGGAGTTCACTGGAGACCGAAGCGTGAAGTCTATCGTCAAGTCAGAATAATGGCGAATGGATCTTCAGAAGTCAGGAATGCACATGTCCCTCATGCACGGATTGAGGAGAAGTAAGTTTTACTACTGGGGAAAAAAGCGGTCGGAGCACATTCCATTGAGGCCCGCATGGGACGGCTCAGACAGATTTTCAGGGGTCATCGTCGCTTCGGGGGAGCCATAAACGATTGGGTCAGAGAGAATCAGCGGGAGACAAACCTTCCGTAGTTTTGGAATCCCCTCCTGAAGGTTTGGAGCGAACCAGCTTTTTCTGGAGGGGGCTTCGAATAGTGAAAAAAAGCGGGGAGCACTGATTCGTTCGGAAAATTCTGGCAATCAGCTCGAGTACGAGGCGAGGGCACGAACGAGAGGCGAAGACACAGATCTTCTTCTCGGAATCACTAATGGATTTTGACGCGCTTTCCGAAGCGCTGCGCGTGCGAGCTCCTCGATTCGTTTCGGAGTCCCGTTCGCAGGATGCCGGTCGACTGCAGCACAGACAACTCACCGTCGATGCGCCATCTCCTGCCGGGATCCGCATCTTCTCCGCGTTGGCTGATTAAGGAGTGCGAAAGCGAAACAGCAATAAATAGAAACACATGAGAAAATTGGAATCCCGAAGTGTGGAACGTGTTTTACTATGTGTTGATGGTGGTGAGCAGTACCAGCCGTCAACAGAAGAACGAGACACGCGAATGTTTTCCTCAGTGAGTGACCGCATAGAAGCTTACCTCTCTGGGCGCCTTATCGGCATCAGCTCTCCAATCGGCTAACCTTGATTGTTACCCCCATGGTTTCCGACCACGTTTATTCGATGCGCGACGAGGATCCGCGGATTCACCGGAGGACGTACCGGAGAGTCGAGGGCAATGCATGAATGCACTACCAGTTAAGCATCAGGTATCATTCAAGCACTAAGCGCGAACCGCGGATCACTCGTAAAGGATCACGCCGCGACCTGAGTACGAAAAAGCGCTCGGGGAAGCCACCCCGGAAAGTTTGCGGGCTCCTAATAAGGGCTCCGGCCAACCCCCCACCCTGTATGCAGGGAAGCTCGAAGCTCGAGACGAGAGTACGCTCCGATGGTTTGACCAGAGTACGCTCCGATGGTTTGACGAGAGGACGCTCCGATGGTTTGACCAGAGTACGCTGCGATGGTTTGACCGGAGTACTCGGAATAGGGCCTGATTCTCCCATGAGATTGCCCTCAGGATCAAGGACGGGAAGCGCCCCCTCTGTCGAGGTCCCCCTCATGGGGGACACGATGCGAATCTGACGAGCTCAAGCTCTCGAGAAACCGCGCCGACTCAATCAAAGGCATTCGAACCAATGAGCGCTGCAGCTTCTCGACAATCTCCTGCGTCATCTCGTTTTTTCCGGTTCCCACCCCTGATATCTGCGGACTCGAGTCGGGATTCTCGGAAACCCGTTGTTCGTTTCCTCCGGCTCTGCGCGCGAACAGCATGGTAATTTTCTCCTCTGGATCTAGTTTGCGCTCGCCGCCCCGAGCGGAACGATCGTCGGCAGCTCGAGTCGGCTGCAGCCGGCTCTCCCATGTATTCTGTCGTCTTCCGCCGCGTTGCCCAGTTCAGCAGCGTTCGTGTGATCGATCTGCTTGAACGTCAGCAGCTTGTGATCCTTGCAAGTCGGAGAGATTTCCATAGTTCACCGTGCATCCAAAAACTAGCTGAGGACTGGGGTTCGAAAAAGAAACGCGAAAGGAAACTTCAATACGTTCGAAACAACATGGACCCAAAACTCGAAGAAATCCTGGCACCGCTCCGGCTGTCAGTTAAAGAACAGGTGAGCAACTTGAGGGACTCGAGCCGTGCTCGATCTCGGGAGCATGCGATTGAGTTTTCGGTGAAAACACACTTCAGGAGTCCGCGGGCCGCGGATTGAGGCAGTTACTCCGGCGACCAACCGGCGTGTAAAATCTGCTCAGTTTCCATGCCGAACAGTTGCAAGGATCCCGCTAGAAATTATTCCGAGTCTCATGAGCAGCGGAGTTATACCTGGTAAGACGATCTGGGTTTTTTTCATCGCCCCGAGATTCGTCGACCATATGGCCACGAGGCCGAAAATCAGCTGTTCGATGCTCATCCTTAAGATTGAAATACTCAGTCAGCTGTAGAGCACGGCACATGAGGCTCGGGAAGAATTCACTTTAGCTCCGATTTGCTCGTGGTCGTTCGGCTATCGCCCCATGAAAGTCTGACTGTTTGAGCGGCGGAAGCGAGACCTGAGCACCGAAGCCATTGGGTATCGGGCGGATGACTTCCTGCGGGTCCCCTGAGGGACAGAAGAAAAATGAAGCGAAATGGAACCACCGATCAGCGGCATCGTCGGGACCATTCTTCTCGTGAACGCCTTTCGGGCTCTCTGGGGCAATTTATTCGACCATACGAAACTTGTCGGCCTTCGCAAGCCGTCGCGCGCTAATAACCTGTATTGACCGTGGTTATCTGTATTTGGAAACGGGTTGGAATCACATCCCGGAACTTTCTGCCCCAGAAGAATGAAACCTCGTCATCGGGTTAGGTCGATCGAATGAAGGATTGTTTCGAATTTCTCTAGGGTGATGTCGTTCGAGATCTGAAAACCTCAGGCGCTCCGGAATTGGATATTAAGAGGGCAGTTGCCGAGCTGAAATCCAGAAAGAAAATACTAGAGGATAAAGAGCTGGCGCTATGTCCTGCCGACGCTACCTTCGACAGAACTCGGATGGAAGATCTCTTGAAGAGACGTTTCTTCTACGACCAGTCCTTCGCCATCTATGGAGGTTAGTTTGATAGACGGAAGAGGATCCGGGTAGACTTGTTCCCGGTGAATTGATTTCGAACGGTCGGAAATAGTCTCGATTCCCGATCTACAGATGGGCCTTGTCGATTTCACAGGAATCACAGGGCAATATGATTTCGGGCCGATGGGGTGCGCGACGAAAAACAATTTTCTCCAAGCCTGGAGGAGACATTTTGTACTCGAAGAGGGCATGCTCGAAGTCGACTGCTCGATCCTGACTCCTGAAACAGTTCTCAAAGCATCTGGTCACGTGGATCGATTCGCCGACTTCATGGTTAAAGACGTCAAGAACGGCGAATGCTTCCGTTTGGATCACTTGATAAAAGCCCATCTGGAAAAAGTAGCCGCGGATAAAAAATCATCGCCGGAACTGAAAGCGGAATGCGAGACCATCGTCATAAAACTCGATGGCATGACCGAAGAAGAGCTGAGGAACGTTCTCAGACGTTTCGACATGAAATCGCCGATCACCGGAAACGACCTCACTGATCCGATCGAATTCAATCTGATGTTTGCCACTCAGATCGGGCCCTCTGGCCTGATCAAGGGATTTCTCCGTCCGGAGACCGCCCAGGGAATCTTCGTCAACTTCAAGAGACTGCTCGAGTTCAACCAGGGCAAGCTGCCTTTCGCAGCCGCTCAGATCGGGTCCGCGTTCCGAAATGAAATCTCACCCCGCTCTGGACTCATCCGGGTCCGAGAGTTTCAGATGGCCGAGATCGAGCATTTTGTCGATCCATCGAACAAGGTAATTCCGGCGAGGACGCTGCGAACATCCAAGACTGTCCCCAGGGCTGAATCCCCGTCTCTCCGTGTTTGAAGAGCGAGATAAATCAGGGGAATGCGTGAAGTGACTCTCCTCCGTTTCCTTCACAGGCACATCCCAAGTTCGGAAGTCTCCAAGATCTCGAGTTGGTTTGCTATTCCGCTTGCGACCAAATGGAAGGTGAGGGTCCGACACCGAGCCGAGGACCTTTCGGGTCCTTCCGTATTCCGGGGAAAAGATTTTCTGAATGCGCATCGAAAAATCAATTCACGCAATTTTACAGGGAAGGCAGCGAAAGCAGTACGTTTAGGCGATGCCGTAGCCACGAAACTGATCGCGAACGAAACCCTCGGGTATTTCTTGGGAAGGATTCACCAGTTCCTCGTGAAAATCGGCATCGATCCCAACCGACTGAGATTCCGTCAACACATGGCTAACGAAATGGCTCATTACGCTTGTGATTGCTGGGACGCCGAAATCAAGACCTCCTACGGATGGGTCGAGTGCGTCGGCTGCGCGGATCGTTCGTGTTTCGATCTTCAACAGCACAGCAAAGCAACGAACGTTCGCCTCGTGGCCGAGAAGCTGCTGCCCGCTCCGAAAACGGTTGATTTCGTCGAGGTCATCCCTCAGAAAGCCGTTGTTGGGAAAGTGTTCAAAAAGGAGGCGAAAGATGTCCTGGATGCTCTCTCAACGTTCAGCGGAGAACGAATCGCAGCGATGGAAGCGGATCTGCAGAATGGAACCGCCCATAAGATCACGTGCGCATCCGGGAAGGAAGCCGAGATCACCAAGGACATGATCCAGGTTAAGAGAGGATCCAAGACCCTGCACGTCGAAGAAGTAGTACCGGGGGTGATCGAACCATCTTTCGGAGTTGGGCGAATTCTTTATTCGCTCTTCGAGCACAATTTCAGAACTCGAGAAGGCGATGAGCAGAGGACCTATTTCTCTCTGCCTCCAATCGTCGCACCTCTCAAGTGCTCGGTCCTACCCTTGTCCGGCAACGCAGAGTTCGTCCCGCTCGTGACGAAGCTCTCAGCTGAGCTCACTCGTTGCGATGTGAGCCACAAGGTCGACGATAGCGCGGGATCGATCGGAAAGCGGTACGCTCGTACCGACGAGATCGCGATTCCCTTCGGTGTCACCGTGGACTTCGACTCGCTCGCGGAACCGCACACTGCGACGTTGAGAGAACGAGACTCGATGACGCAAGTTCGCTGTCCCGTTGACGATATTCCGCATCTGATTCGCGATCTCAGTCTGGGCAAAATCACTTGGCAGAACGAGGTCCAGCCCAAGTACCCCAAGTTCGAACAACAGGAGGCCACTAAGTAATTGCTGTGACTTGTCGGGAACGGAATAGGGAAGCGAGAGACATTGCACCCACACTCGGGCAGCGCACATCTGAATTCTATCTCTCATGCTTTATAAATGTGTCGCGAATTAAATGTGAATGTCTGGAGAATGCTTGCGTTCAGGGGGCTAAAAAGATTAGGGGCGCAAAAGGTTCTCAACCATACCAACGAAACTTCGATTGAAGTCCGGATAGCGACTCGGGCCGCCCATCGGAATAAACTCATTCAGAAAATCGACTCAATTGTTTCCTGTATATCATAGCGCCTGGAAAGGCAAGAAATGATTGCGGCCTCTATTCCACGGGACGGCCGCTTCGCCCAACCGGCGAATTCAAAGTTGGCGCCTTCCCCGGAGAGAAGTGAATTGGGAGAAGGATTCATCCGCCGTACCGTCGTCGTATCAGATACAAGACCGTGGAAGAGAGCGCGCGCGCCTGGACTTGTTGGCTCGCTTGGTGAGGGTCTGAAGAATAACGCAGAAATTGTTCGATTGGCTTGCGAACAATGGCAATGTCCGTACTTGAGCAAGTTAACGCTTAGTCTCAAGCGACAACATTCTCGCTTGACGCCTGTCGGAAATTCATCTGCATAACTCAGCCGTCTTGTGAGTGATCAGAGTTCTCGGCTCCTTCTCTGGATCGATCAGATGTTCGAAATTGCGAGGAGGTGATGGAGTGACTTCCTCGGATTTGTTCTTCAAGAACCTTCACAAAGGTGCCCACGGGCTAGAATCTTGCGTCGAGTCTCAAAAATCAGAGTTCCGATTTATTCTCGTCCGGGATTGACAGCCGAGTGCTCCATCGACAACGATTCAGGGATTTCTACCGGCTCCGAACTCCTGGAAATTTCTCCCTCGGTCTGAGAGTGTTGGAACTCAGACGGTGGACAATCGATCTCGAATTGATCACATCTCATTCTGTTCTCGACAGAGAGAATCCGAGCAGCATGAGTGTCTTTGACGACACTCAAGCGACTTGCGATGGAGATGTACGCGAGTTCCGGATCCTCATCGCTTCGGATATTCATCTAGGATACCAAGACAGGTCCACAGAGAGGAGATCGGATTCAATAAATGCCTTCGAGGAAGTTTTAGAGGTAAGAGGAGAGAATTCGATGAGTACATTGTGGAGGCAGAGGAGTATCCCGATCGGCTCTCTTCCTTGAATGATTCGAACGAATCGGCCTCACAACCTGAAAACTGGTACCATTCAACTTCCAGATCGCGCATGAACAGGATGTGCATATCGCTCTGCTGGCTGGAGACCTCTTCCACGTGAATGACCCTCCGAAATGGGTTGTCAAGGAATCCGTACGTCTGTTGCGGAAGCACTGCTACGGAGACCGAGATATCGATTTTCGTCTGTCCTCGGATCAGAGCAAGAATTTCTCTGATTCAGATTTTCCGGTGGTGAACTACGAGGATCCTAATGTTAATGTCAGCCTGCCGGTGTTCACAATACATGGCAATCATGATGATCCTGTCGGCGTGCAACACGAGAGCGTCGTCAAACTCTTGGCCACGGCAGGACTGATAAATTATTTTGGCCGAGCGAAGGACTTCAACGAGATCGAGCTAGAGCCTTTGCTGTTCGAGAGAGGACGTAACAAGATCGCGGTGTTCGGACTGGGGTCGATGAGAGACGAGCGCTTGAACACGCTTTTCCGCGAAGGGAAAGTACACTTCAAGTGGCCGCCGAATTCCGATCGCTGGTTCAAAATTCTGCTCCTACACCAGAACAGATACAAACGCGGACCCGGGAACTACATTCCGGACTCATTCCTCCCAAAAGAGCTCGACCTGGTCGTTTGGGGTCACGAGCATGAATGTCTCATGGATTTCCAGTTCAACGGACATTTCAGAATCTTGCAACCCGGCAGCACTGTCGCAACATCTCTGTGTCCGGGAGAGGTGAGTACACGGTGTCGTGACCACAAGCGAGAAGACCGATTGGCTCAGAGTCTGACGAATCGATTGTTGCAGGTTCCGGAGAAAGGCGTGGGTTTGCTGAGGGTAATGTTCGATAAGACCGACAGGCAGCACAAATGCTCGATCGAGAAAATCCCGCTCAAAACTGTGCGTCAGATGTACGTCGAGGATGTTCCTCTGTCCAGTTTACCAAAATCGAAAAGTCCACTGCTTGAGCGCGAGCTCGAGTTCCTACAGGAACGAATCGAGGAACTCGTCGAGAAGTCGGTCGGAGAACGGAGCGGTCATCCGAAGCAACCGAAGAAGCCGCTGGTGAGGCTCCGCGTGCTGTACGGACCGGACCATGAGACATTTCTCCCTCACTTCGTCGGCCGGCACTTCAAAGACAAAATCGCGAATCCCGGTGACTGCATCCACTTCGTTCGTGACAAGGAGCTCTGGAGTAGGGATCGCACCACAGGAATTATCGATGAAGAGAAATTCATGGACGTCGTGGAAGAGCAAAAGAAATCGCACGCCAAAATCGAGGACATGCTCAACTTGTACTTCAAAAACGCCTCTGATGAGAATGCGCGCTTGCACGTCATGCATGAAGACGCGTTCTCGCGGGCTATACAGTTGTCGGTGGAAAAAGGAAATCCCAAGGAGATCGTCCACAAACTGATCGAAGAATCCGCGAAGCGCATGAAAGCGAGGCTACTCAGAGCGGAGGACGCCACCGATGAGAAAAGCATGTTGGAATATATCCGCGAATGCAAGACAGAGAGAAACGATGATCTCGACGACGACGTCAAGCACGTCATCAAGGAACTGAACACTCTACCATGCAACATAAAGTCCGAAGATATCGACGACGTGGACGCGATTCATAAGAGTCCCGTGACTCGCGGCCGCGGTAGGGGCCGAGGTCGAGGAAGAGTTTCTCCGTCGCTCTCGGTCAAAAGCAAAGAATCCGACGTCACGGTCATCGACGACAGCGAAGACGAATTCAATGTTCCAATGACGACTAGCCGGGGCCGCGGTCGGGGCAGAGGCCGTGGTCGAGGACGAGGTGCGGCCACTTCAACCAGTAGTAAAACCTCGTCCGCTCGGAAAGTCATCGATGACAGCGACGATGACGACTTCGGGAGCTTCGTGGCCTCTAGCCAGAAGTCTACAAAAGACAAACCGAGCCAGCGAAGCATCCTCGAGAGCTTCTCGACAGCGCCGAAATCTCGTGCACGGAAGAGAGCTCAGAGTCCAGATATCGAAGAAGACGATGAGAACGAGGTCATCCCCTCGTCTTTGGGAGCTTCCTCATTGAGAAACCGAAGTCAGCGGCAACAGCCGGTTAAGAAGAAAAAAACCGTTGACGTACTCGCTATGTTCGATGATATGGACTGAAAAGAATTGAAGTCCCTAAAGTGTTGCGCTCTTCTGATGTCGATGGACCGACTTCATCATGAGGAGTCTGTAGTCTCTCCGGAGAGGAGAGATTTTAACATATTGCGTAATGTCGTTTGATAATGTTTAAGATAAAGAGGATAGTCTCTATTCTAAGGACCCGGAGTCTCTGAGCTCTGGACGTTTTGCGATTCGTGTTTTCGGAACATGGCAAAAGCGGGGCCCAAAAGGGAGAGAAACTTGTTCTATATAAATAGTTATTCATCTTTATAAACAGTGTGCTCGCGAAACTATGATCTTCAATACAAGAGTTCGTGGTCGGATGTACTCGAACTGCCCCAGTCCGACGGCCGCCTTATTGCATGGGTTCGCTGTCGGAAACTTGCATCGATACACTGAAGCTCGTACTGGAGTCGTTGATCGTGGAGTTTTGCTCCTCGGGGTTCTGGAAGCGTTGAGAGATATTATTTCCGGGCTTCAATGAATCGTAGCTGACGGATTCGTTGCGCGAGACAAAAAATATATTCGGGCTCTTACTCCTCGAACTCCGGAGAAAATTCCTCACCTTCTTGAGACGAGAGACGAATCTAAGTGAAGTTAGTAAGAGAGGCCTGACCGTATTGAGTTCCATCATTGTGAGATGATCAACCTGGAAGATCCAATGATTGATTGATCGCATCTGAACCTACATAATGGGAGGCTCTTGACCTACCTACCGTAGCGCGGTCGCCGACATTCACGGGCGGATTTCCGCCATTACCATCGGAACTCGCGCTCTTTCAAGGCTGGGATAGTCTTACCTGAGCGTGGACTTCATCACTTTTGATGAAGACATCCGTGGACGACCGGAGCTTTGCTAAACGCATATCCCAGATGTCTTTGACTAGTGTATGAACTTCATCTGCTCTTGGTATATCAGGGGTAGCGTTCTCCAGCAGCAGTTGTGTTATCTGACATACAAATAATTCATTATTCACAAAGTCTTGACGAATGAAACGCTCGTGACCAACGGGCATAGTAAGAACCGACCGAACCTCTCTGTAGTGCTCGCTGGGGATTCTGGTAAAAACTTGACTGTCCTTCTCTTCCTGCTTGATCTTTTCCAGTTCCTCGACTGTCATCCAAGCTGGAGGAAGGATTCTGCACTTCTGTCTCTGTCGGAAATTCAATGCTGCCCAGAGGGGGACCGAAACAGGCATCCCAGCTATGAACGGTCCGAAATCTCCTATAAGCATCAAGTATTCGGCTTCAGTAATCGCCCACGGCTATGCTTGCAGTCTAGACTGTACGAAACTGCGAGGCTCGACGAGCACCATCGGGACTGACCGGTGATCAGGTGTATGACTGCGTGGTTGAATTTGGGCACGATTTCGATGAGAGTATTCTCAGCGATGAATTCGACCTCCTGAGTTTCCATTTCGTCGATTGGGCGAAGACCGCGGAGTTTTCTACTGTGTTATATTCGCTGTGAAGGGATCAGGCGAGAATCTCGCTTCTCACTTGGAGCGCCTCCGGGGGTGCAGTCAGCTTTTGGCAATCACCCCTGTCTGCCTTTTGGCCCTTCCATCCTAATGTTCTATCAGAGAAACTGAGTCAATCAGTCCACTCACTTGGAGAGCTGATCTGGAGCGAAAATTGGCGCGCTCTGATCTGTAAACAAGAAAGCGAAACCACCGCTCTTCTGAGCCAAATAGGGATCCTCACCATTCGAGTTTTTCCGAGTATTTTAGGAGGGCTGTGTCGTTTCAGTCCTCGACATCGAAGAGGTCGATACGCTCAATAGTAACTCCAGCTGGAACTCCCGGAATCTGAGGCTACAGCGATAATAATTCCGTAGAGGACCTGAGTCGGTCACTGCGCCCCTGGCGGCCAGTTTTGTCTGCTAGCGGACGACACTCTGGCATCCTTTTCCCGTTGAAACATGGTGCAGAAGGGAGCAAAGAAAGCCGCTGCAGGTACAAAACTACCTCAATTTACCATTTAGAGCAAGCGAAAGTGTCTGTATGTGAGTTGGGCAGCCACCTGGGGTCTCAGACAGTGAGATGACGGAGATTCGCTTCCCTCAAGGCTCGGGATGCTTCCAAGGAGCTATCCCGGCAGGGGCACGTGGCGCTCGATGAGCGGTGTTTCTGCCGACCGAGCGAATTTCATTCGAGTTTGTGCGATAGTGACACATTGAAATCCTTCCTCTCCGACTTGCCCGGACGATTTGCGGGGTACCTGAGCGATTCCGGGGCTTCTCTCCCGGAGTCGTTGCCGCTGTGGAGGAGAGTTTCGAAGCTTGGGAGCCTGCCTAGAGGCTCCAAGCAATCGCTGGGAAAGTGTATTCCGGCAGAGAATTCTGATGGATATTCGGAAGTCACGTGTGCTGGTTGAGGAACTAGCAAGCTTTTCTCCCGCATCCGTGAACCTCGACGCTGTGACGACCCCTTATACCTCCTTCCTCGAATTCACGATGCATTTCCTCATTTCCAGCGCCGGAGAAAGCCGCAAAGGCTCCCGTCGCGAAGACGGAGGAGAAAAAGAATGCGGCGGCCGCTAAAATCGCGCAGGCCAAGAAGGCCAGAGTGAGTATACCTCGATGTCAATATTTCCGTGTTTGCCACGACCGTGGAAGTGATCGATCACATCTGCCATCAATACATATGACATCCCCCCCGTCAGAACATCCCAGCCTCAATGTTCCTTTCCGTTTTCCAGGTGAAGGTTGTCAAGGGTCCGAAGGGAAGCCACACTCGCAAGGTTCGAACTTCGACTATTTTCCGCAGACCGAAGACCTTGGCGTTGCCCAGGAACCCGAAATTCCCTCGGAAAGGGGCCCCCAAGAAGGCCACCATGGACAAATTCCAGATCATCAAGCACCCCTTGACGACTGAGTCCGCCATGAAAAAAATCGAAGACAACAACACGCTGGTCTTCATTGTGCACACCAGAGCGTCTAAGCACCAGATCAAGTCGGCAGTCAAGCAGTTGTATGATATCAAGGTTGCGAAGGTTAACACACTTATCCGACCCGACATGCAGAAGAAGGCTTACGTACGTCTGCCGGCTGACTATGACGCGTTGGAGTTGGCCAACAAGATCGGAATCATCTAAACTGTGTGCGTTGTCGCTAGTCTCTCCGGTTTTGATGTAGCATCGAGCAGGCCACCAGTTGAATGTACAATAAAACTTGAGAGAGGAGGCTGTGACGCAAGAAAAATCCTCAGTGTATTTTTTTTCCCCGTGAGAGCGAGATTCCAAAAGCCCAAGCCGATCCTCGATGAGAGTGGTCGAATTGAATCAGGTGCGGGTTGGAATACGCTTTTCGCAAGAAAGCCGCCGGGGTCGAGTTTCGCCGAACGATGCCCAGACTCTTCATCAGGAAACCGAAGGAGCCTTGCGGAACCTGACTTGTTGGCGATGCATTATTGCTGTATTCACGGGTTTCCCCGATGGATCGCCATTCAGACGATTTCGTACTCGCGGATTGCTCAGATTCTCAGTTCCAATCCAAGACGTCTGCTCTATCGGAGTCATTCCGTCGCATCGCCGCAAGTCTCGTCCGACTTTCGATCGAGATCGTGACTCCGCCGACCTACCCGACTTTGACTCCCTCAAAATAGGCCGGGTTTTTGTTTTTCAATGTTCATGAGACTCCTCTCTCATGATCCGGAACCCATTGCCGATTGTCATCGTTGAAAGCGTGCTCCGATATTCCCCGTTCCTCTCGTCCGACATCTCCGGGTCGTGGTGCTTCATCCTGGTTTCAACCTCCTGCCTTCTCTCTTTCCGCTCCCCGATATCCTCGTGCCTGCCATTTCATATGTACTCGATCCCTTACAGGAGGCATGTCGCGAGTGAACGCAGCGACTACAATCGCAAGATGAGGCTTGAACGTCCGCTCACAGTTGAGCTTTTTCGCGTCGATCTCGTCCTGATAGGCTTGGTGAAGCTCGCCGCGTCTCGCACGCAATATTTCGCTCTGTATACACAATGATTCGGTTCTCGCACGTTTGCTCGAACTTGGGCCATGATTCGATCGCTGATCTCCTGTGAGGAAAGCAGCCCAATACACCTCATTCCGAGAGAATACCGGAAACCGGAATCCCGATCCGGGGAGGTATGAGGAGGAAATGACTGGAAGCATGGATCGGAGGGATAAAAAGTGACCTGCCCAAGAGAATCTCGCTAGACCAAGCATGACGAAGAATACATACACCCAAGCGGGTGGAATGACTCCCTGTATCGTTCCGATGAATTTCTCTAGGTGGATCTCGGTGAACTGATCGATTCGCCACACCTAACTCGGCCGTCCTCATTCGATTGGCTCGCGTGAACCACGGAAGGGAAATGAACGGCGGATCGTATGGGTATCTCTGATGATTTCTTCGAACTCCTATACGAAGTTTCGCGTCTCTCTGTAATCCCGTGTCATCCGAGAGCCCCTCCCCTTTCCCCAGGAGCACGATAGGTTCCAGACTCCAAAGGCGTACTACTCGATCCTTCTGTCGATAGACGGAGAACCGGTCGAGGACCCCGCCGATAGCGAGAATCCTGAAATCGGTAGCGGCCATTCACGTTTCACCGGCATGCGTATACGCCGGCGCTAGGATGCGCATTCGGAATGAGCCTCCGTTAGGCTATTTCGACCGCTTCGATCCGCGCGTGGCTCATGAGCCCTTGACCAGCATCCGATGTTTCGGGCAAGGGATATCAGTATGTGACATGAGCCAACGCGAGATAGCGCCTATCGCCTCCAAGTAGGGCGAAAGGCGCCACGGCAAATCCTCCATTTCTTCGCCCGTCACGACCCGATGTCAAGGAGAACTCAGACGGTTCCTCGCCAGTGGGGCGAGCGTACGGATCGGCCGAGAGCGAGCACGGAATATTGCAGTTCAGCTCAATGAAATCGAGGTGACCGGCTCGTATATCGAGGGAAGAAGCCCTCAAGCCTAGCCACAGGCTGTTCCTCCCATTGGCCTCCGGATCGGCAGTCCGGTCCCGTTGAGCCTTCAGGTTGCCGATTGTTGGACTCGAGCTCCCAAGCGAATAGGCGCACCACCCGAGTTCCAGTGATCGATAGTTCGCGACGCTTGTCCTCGCTTCACTGCCACGGTGCGCGTGGACGCCCCTGGAAACTTGTTCCTCAGTCAGATCTCTTCGATCGCAGGTCGCGGACCAAACATGCATTGCAGAGCTCCGCTTGCTGGGGTTTTTCATATCTCGTATCGCGAAGATGTTCCCCGCGACGTCGCGTCGGCGTTCCCGTGGAGAGTCCTGCTCTGAGGTTGAGCTTTCCGGAACAGACGCCTCCTGGTCTCGCGAGGCAGCAGCTCGCTCGGTAGAGTGGCGGGCGAGGCGGCCAGTGTGCGCGGCAGGCAGGCAGACGAGCGGGTGTCCTTTCCAATGCAGAAGTCCTCTCTCGAGCGAACCCTCCTCCTCCAGCTGTGAACTCGGCCCTCGTCGTAGCTCTGGCGACGGCAGGGCCTAGCTTGCTTAGTGTTCTCTCCGGATTCCGCAATTCGTTCATTCACTTAATAGAGCAGCAAGGGTTGTTGTTCCGTGAGTAGCTCCACCGATCGAGTATGCACTCATCGTCGAACAGCTTCGTGGGATAAGCTTCCCATGCTCCCCTCAGTTGCAAAACCGCTTGCAAATCTTGCGAGCTCCGCATCGGCACCGCAGTGAATTCGGAGACGAGGAATCACTTGTGTCATCGGACACGAGACACTGCTAGTCGGAGGCGCATTCGCGTCACCTGTTCGACAGCGATTCGTGTACGTCGACGGTACGGTCGCGCGCGGAGCGTTGCGCCTCAGGCCCGCGGCACGCGTCCCCGCGCTGCGAGATCCGAGCGAGCGAACGAGTGCGTTCACACGCGCGGAGGCGAGGGAGCAGGCTAGTCACCGAAGGTGAACGCATAGGGCGCAATTCTTGAATGCTGAACCGACGTAGACCTCTATCTGGTTCTGGATGAAGTCGTGCCCCACGAGACGAGTCAGACGACCGGCAGCTGAGCCCTGGCGCAAGAATTCGCTCGGCCTTATACCAACAACATTAGCAGCGGCAACGGCAGCGCCCGTAGCATCGGAACAGGTAAGTTCATTGTGTCCTTGCACCATCGGGCTCCTCTGCATGCCTAAGTGCGTCGTCCAATTAATCGGAATATGGAGAAAGGGATAATCCTCTCACGAGCCCTCACGAGGGAGACCTGGACCGGGGTCAGAGGACCACACGCCCAGTCCCTAGGATTCTACGGGGAAACTGTCGGCTTCCAGTGCATTCGCTAGACTTCAGTACTTCAGTACTGATCTTGATGAATGACAGAAAATCTACCGGGGGATGGTCCGTGATAATTGTCACTGTGCACCTATCGTAGCAACGATAGATATACAGCGACAACGGTCAGAAAGGCTCGCCGGGGGGGGTCATACAATTTTCGACGAGGAAACGAACGGTTCTCCTCACCTCATGTCCCATGCACCTTCAGCGAAATGTCGACCGGCATGCCGACATCTACGATCTACCAGATAAATCAAGAAAACTGCGCTCCACCTCGCAGAGGGGGGCACCCCTCACGTCAGAAACGCTTCGGACCCGCACCGCTGGCTTCGTTTGAGGATCTCCCAACCGATGACCAGGACAGCTCGCCCGAAAACGAACCCGACTACCTCAGAAGAAAGCAACGAAGCGCTGATCCGGTCTCTCTGAGACTAGAACTCAATCCTGTCGCTCCGGGCCAGGGCTCAGAACTATCGACGCCAGTCGCGCCAGACAGTGATATTGTTTCTCAGATAACCATCACCCCGAGTCTAGGTAAGTAGGAAACTCGAGCATATCACGGGGGAGAACTCTCGGATTCGATGCTCCCGGAGCGTCCGATTGTTTTCCGCGAAAATATTCTTGCTTGATTCACCTGCGATGAGGTTGCCCTCGTCGATCTTGCGCTTCACGTCTCTGATTTCCCTCGCTCTGCCGAAGATGGAGGCCTCTCCGTCTGGATGCTCATGGTGTTTCTTTCCAGAAGCTTGCTCTATCATGAAGCTGCTTAATGAGTCAGAATTTTGCTTTCGCACAACCGAGCGCGACAGGGCTCAGCGCTTGCATTGGGTCTCAGAACATTCCTAGTTCCCTTCTCAGCCCGCTTTTCGCCTGGTTTACGGGGTCCGTACGCTGTCCCCGGGCTCAATGTCTGGCTTGCACTGGTTTGGATCGTCCCGATCGAGACCATTTGGCACATGAAGGCTTTGAGCTTCACCGCGTGGTCACTCACTCAGTAGGATGGCGGCAGACAATTAGGTCGCCGTAGAGTCCAGTCCCAAATGGAGGAGAAGTCGTCGAAGCTGCGGACAACGATCACGGAGCCTACCGGTCGACACTGTCGTATCAGGGAGCGCCCTCGGAACGAGCGGAGCTCCTTCAGCATGATTCGATGCGGCGCCTGAGCGGACAGGTGTACGGCGACTCCTCGCCTTAAGGAACGAGCTTAGTTCAGACTGCTGAGAATCGTGGGGCTCAGGGATCGACCGAAGAGCTTGAGGGAGAGCAAGGGGATTCCAGAGTAATGTGGGCTTGTTTGCAATAGTCAAGGCGAAGGCTTAGGCGGCGCCGACGTACTCTAATCCTGCGGGAAAAGGCTTCAGATTCTCGTGCCCCACGCCTGCGTTTCGAGACTGACTTTTGCATACGCGGCACGTCGCAAAAGCACGAATTTCTCGGTGGATCGTGTTGGAGAGCAAACAAACCATGGAGTCCTCTTTCTCTTCCAGATAGTAGAAACGTCTCACCATTGCAAGGCTTTTTGCCACCCGAGGACATACTGGTGGGCAGCAATCCGACCCGTTCGTCGCTGACAACTTCAATAACCGAAGAAAGCTCATATCGTGACGAAGACGTCGACGTACGTGACGCCGAGGTGAGTGCATATTTACGAGTTCTGTTTTCGAGCGAAACCCCTAATGAATGATATTTGTCCTATGGAGAAGTACGCGAAGCATGCGTTAGAGTTGTGAGCTGGGGCGAATATTGGCCCCTTCCCGCGGCGCCTCGGTTCTCAGGAATGTTCCTCCAAGGATCGTTGGATTCTTCGATTTTTCGCTATGGATGAAGTGAAAATCTCCGCAGATCACGGAGAAGGATTAGTACTCCCGGTTGAGATTTCGTTCCAAGGGGAGGGCTCGCGATTTTTTTCTGCGGGGAAATATCGCAGGATCTCTTCCGCGAACTCCGCTCAGGAACGTGAGAAGGGCGGGAACGTCTCGCGTGATATGCTCTGGTGTGACATTCTCAGCGATCGGCCCGCAGATGGACGCAAATCCATCCTTGGCCCAACCTGAGTCGAGTCTGGAATCGAAATCACGACAACTTCACGCATACTGTCTCGTTCGAGGGGGCCTTCTATTTCTTTGCGAGAGCTCCCGTGGTGGGAACTCTAGTTGTTAATCTTCCATTGTTATAATTGTATAATAAAATCCCCGGAGTCTGAAACTGTGTCCAGTCCACCAGGCGCTGCATTCGTTTCCCCAGTGGGAGTCCCCGACTCGCCGGACGACAAGATTGCGGAGCTCCCCGATTCCCGCGCAAAACATCCAGCTTTCCTTCCTTTGTATCGAGGGATGAAGAAGAATTGTATCCGATCCGCTACTTCGGATCGATGTATTGGTCTCGCCGCGATCGAATGCGGACGCCAGGGCGCCTCCATTGGCATCCGAAAGGCGCCGCCTCGATTCAGTGTCACCGAATCGAGTATGCGATGAACTCATACAGGATGCCCCTAGCCTCGTTGGAGCTCCAACCCGACGCCCGCATAGACGCGGTGCCTTCGGGGCTAAGTTCCAAGTTTCGGCTTTGTCGACCTGTCTATTGTGCCTCACCTCGAATGACGTGTCTCATTGTTTCACAGGCGCTTGGCATCGACATCGCGCAAAAGGCCGGTGGAGGAAGGGAACCTGTTGTTCTTGTTGAGGATCCCTCGGAAAACGAGGACGACCCGAACATGGCGATCAGCAGCGAAGCACTCCTTGAGTCACTGCTCAAGTTCGAAGAAGAACGCATTCCTCTGGCTGCCCGTCTCGAGAGGTGAGTTCCCCCTAATCCATGAGCCCTAAGCCGATATTCGTTGGTACGGTTCACGTCCGAGAGAGAGTCATGAAGGTTAACGACGGCAACCGCTGCCGGAGTGTAGACGAAGGATCTGGGACCGGGAATGATGACTCGCAGAGTGGACTAAGAATTTCCATGATGACTGACATCATCGTCGATGAGGTAGGGAGATGTCAGTTCCCTCTTGATCAATCGGATCGTCGCGGAGTCGACGGAGGAGATCGTCTCAGGTACAGAGTCGTGGAGGAGGATCCGGTATTTACTCGGATCGAGGAAACTACGCGAACGTCAACCATTCCGCGACATATACGTCCTCTCCGCCAATAGGAAGGATATGAATGATCGAAGTCGGTCCGACGCGGCCTCCGTCGATGACTCGAGCGGGACTCTCAGCGTTCGAGAGAAAGACAAAGCCGAGTATTGAAGCAGCCTCGAGCCGCTGGAGAAAGAATAACTTCGCCCTACTGAGTTGTTGACACATCTCGCCTCATGAGCCAACACCCGCAACATTGACGGCGATCGCCTCCAGCTCCCACTCTTGAATATTTACCACCCGAGCGATTAATATCCCCGATCCTACTACGGGAGCCAATAAAAGCTCGAAGCCCCTTGTCTCGAATGTATCGTCGCGCTCTGTGGCCCCATACCCATGAATATCACGAGGCTTTGCTCATCGTCTCGCGATAATCACGCCCTCCGAAATCGATCCGGAAAGACTCGTGCTGATAACGTGGTATTCGATGAAACGAGGGTGTCAGATGGCGAGGCATAAAGTGCACGGGGAACCATTCTCGTCTATATTCGGGGGCCGATAGTATTCCATCCTTATCTTATGAAGACTCTATACGCCTCCGTTAGGGAGCGTCTCCTCATAATCGGTGACTGCCGCGCAAAAGGCTGTGTCGGTGACTGAAGCTCTTCGCTCTACCAATTACAGGTCTTGCCAATCGATCGCCGACATCCCGAGTGCTTCGCACTCGCGGAAAAACTCAGGGGTTCAGCCCGTGGCCCAAGAACCTGTGGATGAAAGCGAGCAGAACCGGGAAGAAGAACCACAGCAAACGGCATCCTCAGACATCCCGATACTCGGAGAAGTTCAGGAACCTAGCCCTGTGGGGGATCAGGGCCAGGGGTGGGATGCCGAATCGGAGGGAGGTGAGCGAGCTTTACGAAATTAGACGCGATGATTCCCCGAACACCAAGGTGTCGAAACATGTCTTATTGCGTGAGGATATCGGTGGTTGGCAAAGGACCTTGTCAGGCCAGTGACCTCATACCCTCACTATGCCCTTCAATGATAGTTGTTCTTCTTTCCTTGTCGACAAAGATGAGCCCAATGATGACATCGCCGAGCTTACGAAAAAGCCGAATCGTAAGCCGAAACTACGAACTCAAACGAGCGAAGATCGTTTCGAAAGCCTGCACCTGATCCCTCCGCAAGATTCGGTTGATTTCGATGACGATCTCGAAGGAGAGCTCCTCGGTCTACAGCCGGAGCCGAACGAGGTGAGTTTCCCGATCGACTTCTAGCTCTGACTTCGACATGCCGCTGCTCATTCCGACAAGACGGCTCCCATAAGGTATGAAATGGAATCCGTTCTGAGATGTCAGATGTCAATGATCATCTGTCGAATTCACCCGTGCCTCGAGCTGGCCGGAGGCGTCGTCTACGGGATTCGATCGATCCCTGGAATAGGCAACCCTACGAATGGATATTACCCCACAGACTCCTCGAACCCCCCATAAGAACACTCCGAGGGCTCAATTGGTCACTATCCCAATCGAAAGACCGAGGTCGACGACACCGATAAACGTCGCACCTTTCGAAGCGTACATTCAACAGGGAACGATCGAGCCTGCGACTGAAGCGAGCGGACTCAAGTCCCCAGACAAATTCAAACTCACGCTCCCCGGTCAATCTTCGAACCTCATCCGGAGTCCCCGGAAAGGTAGGGAATCTGGAAGCTATAAGTCGATTCCTCGCGCTGGATTCGAAATAACGCTATTCATCGCTAGCCCAGCTCATTGTGTCTCTCAGGATGACCCAAATTTGTTCGTTTGCCCAGGTTCACTTCGGAATTGGGAGGAATTCTGCGAGGAGGCTCTGCAATGCAGCCCTCGGGCGCGATCCAAATCTGACGCGGCTGTGATTGAGAGCGGGAAATTCTTCCCCGACCCTCAGGATTTCTCGCCGGCTTCCCCACCGAGACTGCCCGATGACGAAGACGACATTCAAAGCCCGTCCGACTACCAAGATCCGTTCAGGAGACGCTTGACGTGTTCCTGCAAGTGCCGGATGTGCGCTTGCTCATGTGAAGGCTGCGATTGCGACTGCCATTTCTACACTCAAAAGGTGGGGCTTCAACGGGGTTTTATGACGTCATCGACTGCTGCTTAATCAAATCTCATTCGGTCGTTATATCGAAGGCATTGAGAATGACAATTGTGCCGCAGTCCGATTGTGAAATGAGGAGTCATAACGAGGGAGCTTTTCTTGCTCAGGTGTGCGAAGCTCATCTCAATGATCCCATGAGTAACATCGCCGAGATCAATGGCGGTCCTCCACAATCGCCGAAGGAAGACGAAGAGAACCTCATATCTCCAGACGATCAGAACGCTGGTCCGTGTTTATGCGAATGTCACTCTCTGCCGAGGGATACTTCGTGCCTTCTAACTGCCCCGCTGCTCGTGGCACAGTCGTCCCTAGACTCCTGTTGAGAACCTCAACTCATCTCGATAAAAACACTGGCACTCACAGTTCTCATAGAGTACCCGAATGGGAGACACCGATGAAATAGAAAAGAGCGATGCCGTCACTCAGTTAGTCTTGACGTAACTCTCGATTATCACGAGACTCAGCACAAATAGAGAAAAAGTGGGAAGCAACATCTAGTGCAAGCACTCGCTCGACACTCAGCATCGAGGTGAGAATCTACGATCACCGCATCGCTTCGAAACCCCCTTTGGTATCAAGGCCCCGGCTTCCATAATATTCAAGAATTAGAATTAAGAGAGGTGGATCTTCCAGGTGACGGTAATTCTTAGAGAGCAGTGCGAGAGCAGCTGGATAAGCAGGAGTCGCAGCAAGGAGCGGAGCGTTTCAAATGAGCTCCAGGACTGAAGTTTCCGGAATGTCGGTTGGAGATATTCTGATGAAGAGCAGGAGGAACCACATCGAGTCGGCACAATTCTGAGGCGAACTCAAGGGACGGATGCCAACACTCTGTGCAATACTCACATTCTACCGTCGGTCGATCGACGAACCCTTTCGGGGAAATTGCGAGGGCGAGCCGCGGCACGACGCGGTGACTGATTCAGATGCCGTAGGTAACTCCATTTTCACTTCAAAACAAGTGCCTATCTATCCGATTCGTTTATCCAATGAGTATTTGCGAGAGAGGTGAATGACAGGTGAACCGATGGTCTCCCTTTCAAATGTTTCTAGTCTGCCGGCTCTCGTCGGATAATTCGATGGTTTGCTCTCTACACCATCATGATACTCACAGCCCTTGATGATTTCCATCGATCTATCATTAGAAACTTGTATGCCGAGTCTCAGGTGAAACTTTTTACTGTTTCCCCACGTTCCGAGATCCGGAGACACTATCCTTATCAATGACTAAGCTCCTCTCGACCACTTTCTCGAGGTGATCACCTGTGAAACATTCGTTCTTCCAAACACTTCGTCGGGCATTTTAAGCCGCACTCTGTCTACCTTGTTCACTGGCTTAGCACCTATTTTATGAAATCTAGTATCGACTTCATCATCTATTCCATGATACTGTATAGGAAGCCGACTTCATAGAGGGTGATTATTATTGATGGGATGGTGATAGATATTCGTGCGCGTTGTGTGTGGCGTCTGTTTTCGTTCCGAATGAACTAGAGCGTGATGTCTCTGGATGTTCGAGATCGAGAACGCTTCAAACAGCGAGAGGGATTTGTTATCTGGAATTATGAGCATAAACCAACGATCTCCGCGAAAGTTATCAACGCCCCTCTGTTGATAGGATTCTCCTCATCCCCCATAGGACCTCGAATCTACCTGATCCAAGAGCACATGTATGTGTATCCCCATGTCTTGACGGTGATGTAGCGAATCCTCAAAAAATCCTCTGGGATGTCGTTCCTGAGGTATCATTCGTCCGCGCTTGCGAACACTCATCTACTGATTCGCTTTTGAGAGAAGCGATGGAGCCGTCAAAGTTGTCGTTTGTACGCTAGCACATGTATCGAGAGCTATAATGTTTATTCCAATAACGTCGAGACCTCCATTGCCTGATGAAGGCGAGGCTCGCAGACTTCAAGCAGAGAAAACGAAGGAATTGCGGGGGAGCGTGTTGTTGCTCGACCTAATCTTAAGTCTGTACTTTCTCTCTAACTGTTCTGTGCACCAGGTTCTATGTAGGCTTGCGGGCGGAGTTCCGACTGGATTTCGCTTGGTGATAGGAGCATTATTCGTGATCTGTTGTAGTCCTCAGCGAGTGTACCCGATTCTCGGTTCTCCGTCAGAGACCCGGGAGGGGGAAATCTTCTATCTGTTCAAACATCGTCTGCATTTATCTATTCCAGCAGCGTTACATCGGTTCACATTATGAGACGCGTTCTCCATGACAATGTTACCATTCGGATACCCTTTCTGATAATTCAGAAGTTTCGTCACTCTGAGGGCCAGCTTGAATGAAGCCGGGCTGTTCCGATCGCTAGGATGGCTCCACTCCACACACCTTGCAGTTTCCCCAGTACAAACAATCGAATGTTTCGAATTGAAGCACTTAGACATTTGATCACGTGGGTTTTCAAGCAGCAAAGTAAGATGACGATATCATAAATCATAAGGAATTGTCGATATCGGTTTATCAGGTCTCAGAAAGCATCCTCGCACGCGTGAATTCCTGGACTTCGTCTGGGGTTCTAGTTGCAATTCGGAGAGACAGACGAGTATGGAAGTTTGAGACGATGTCACCGTGGCAGTTGAGAGTCGAGAGACGAAAGAACGGAATTCCCCTTCATTGCGTCGAAGTGTGGGACGAATCTGGGTCAGAAATTATTATGACCTGAAGAATTATACGATAGAAGTGTAGAAATACAGAGATACTCGTTCGATATCCCGACTAGAAGATGACAACGCAAACACAACTGATAAAGGTTCAAAGCTCGACGAATTTTCTAATCCCGGAGCGGAGGCTTTTCATTGAGATTGTTCTCCCGAAATGCGGTGGCTCGTTTATGTCAGGGAAACGAATCCATTTCCCGAGCCCCGGTGTACAAAGGCCGAAGATATCGACCAGCAGACGGACTACTGTCTTTGGAGCACATTCCTCGGGAGATGAGATCAAGGCTAGCCATATGAGTCTTCAAGGACGAAGGACCATTCGTAGATCGAGGAGTGCTCTTCTATTGATTGTAGCTCCAAGGATGCGGGAAAGTTACGGAAATGACCCCCTAGAGGGGGAACTACGGTACTTGTCGATGGAGAGCAGGATATCCATTCCCTGATATCGGAAGAAGCCGAATTTGCGTCGGACACCATCCCTGTGAGTCTGACGGTCCTATCCCGCAAATCACGCCGAGTCCAGGATTAAATAGGGACTCTATGATCAGTGCATTAGAATCCAAGTAGGAGGTCGAACTCGGTCGCCGACTCTGGCGGGTACTCTTCTCTTCTTCTTCTTCGGTTCTCCTCCCGAGCGCCCGAATATTCCCCCGTTGCCTGTATAGGTCCTCAAACGACGATGATCACTTTTCCCCATTCTCCTAACTTGCTGGGAAAATCAGTCTAATCAATTCCACCGATTCCAACCCCCGGATTATTCTGCTCGGTAATTCTCTTGTCCATCGCTGCAGTACCTGCAATGTTCCGGTTGACCATCTACGAATGGACCCGTGTAAAAAACACCTAGCCACGTCACTGCACCAGCAAGAAAAAAAGATAGTAGGCAGTCTTCAAGTGGAAAGCCGACCTGTTCGAGAATCAGACGAAAAGCAAACTGCAACGCAAGATCGAGATGATTGATCTAGTGCAGCTCGAACACTCCTCTCCATGTCCTCGATCGGGCACCCATCTCGACGCGGATCTGAGCGGAATCGGAATCAATCTCTTGGGTGTACCTTGTGCAAAGGATCAGGAGTCCCAGAAGGGGCCTAGGTAGCGAGCATTACTCCTGGACTCAGTTATTCTCGGGTCGACGAATCTTAAGACCGTCAGTGAGATTGTCTTGAACCAATTGTGCAAATACGAAATCCCTTTCTCGAAAATTAGCGCTTTCGTCACAGACAAGGCGTCATACATGCACAGAGCGTGGAACTCGAGTCTGAAAGCGCTGCTCCTGAACGCGGTCCACATGACCTGTACCGCGCACATTCTCAATTTGATTTGCGAAGTCTGGCAGAATGAATTCAAAATCGTCAATGAGCTGGTGGTTTCTGTCAAAAAAGGTTTCACAGCCTGCCCTTCACGCAAGGCCTGCTTTGTCCTTAGAGCAAAGGGCGGGTCGATCTCCTTATCCCCCCCCCCGTCCCTTGTCGTCACTCGATGGACTGCGTGGTTCTGAGCCGTTCTGTATCACGCATCGCATTTGGAAAATTATGTGGCTTTTTTCAAAGAGGAAGCTGACTCAACATTGGTCTCGACGCTCTCAAAGATAGTTAGATTGAGTGGATCCGACGCAATCGAAACTGATGTCGCCTGCTTGAATAGATATGCTCCGCATCTGATTGCCAACTTGCAGAAATATGAGACCAGCGAAGTGAAGTCAGATGTTCTGAGAGACCTCCACTTGCTCGCGGAGTGGCTCGAAGTTTGTGAACTCTCAGAATCGAATCCGATCGGGAGGACCGCCTTGCAGAAATCCTGCGAAAAACTACGGAACTACATCTCGGAGCGGCCGACGGCCCGTTTCACCCAATTGGCAACGAGTTTCTTCAGATCCTGCCAAGCATTCGATCCGTCTTACGATGTACACGAGCCTTTCTTTATTGATTCGCGTCTGGGTATATTCCAGTTCCGAGGGAATATAAATCGGTGTTCTGTGGGGCATTGGGAGAAGATCCGGTAGCTTCGACAAACAGATACATTATTATCATCTCATTCATATGCTCATTCACAGAGCTTCCAGCCACGAATTACGAGCCCGATAATCTCGCGGTCAAGTTCTTCCGGCTCCACCAGCTTCAATACATGCTCAATCTACCTGCTGTGCAGATATGAAAGGAGCTGGCAAGGACACCTCTGACGGCTTCAGCATTAAGTTACACCTTTGAGTCGAAGGTTGATCGTACATTCGCTTGACTAAACAGGAAAGACGCCGCTGATAGGATGAAGGATTCCTGAACCCCGTTCTCGACCTACAAGATGATCGAGCCTCAGCGGCGTCGCCGGGAAAATACTGCGACATATCAGCTTCTCACAGGGACCTGCTCTGATAGAATCTGCTGTCGTCCTGCTCGGACCTGTCGAGATCTCTCGAGAGATGATCGCGGATCATGGTGGAATGTCGGAATTCGGAGAAGAAGAGACAGGCCGCATGATCGTGCTTAAAGCGAAAGTTTCCGGGAATTTCCCGACGTGCATCAACTTTCCTCGGTCGGAACGTTGAAGCTTCGTAGAGGGCTCAAGTCCTGATCGAGCTTGTCAGACGTTATCTCCGACCGGGGAATGATTCAGTCATACGGAAATTCTGTCCATCAATCGATTAGCCGATGGTTTATGATTATTTGAGTTTCCAATCTTCAAGCATTCCGACTTGCCCGTGCGCGACACCACTGAGAGTTCGAGCAAACAATGTCCGACGAGGGCATCTCGTCCAGCCGCGAAGCTCAGAGCAATATCTGATCCCGTAATACCTCAATTATACCCGTTAGAGAGCGAACTCGAAATACAGAACCGTGTGGTCTGCCGCGACGCCGGACGGTCTGGAAACTCGAGCGACTCATCCGGACGCCAACGGGGTGAAACGAGGGCGACTTCAAACGTCGGAGTCGCTGAATCGACTCCCAATCCTACCTCCGTCCCAAGTCCACGGGCTGATTTAAGAACCAACGAAACGCGCATGCGCCCCAGCAGCTGGCTTCAAGCGGCGTCGCTTCGTGAGGACCGGAGTATCGGAGTCAGTGAGCGACAGGAGTTTGCTGACTCAAGCCGTCTTCGGGCTGTTTTCAGTGTGTACGACAGTGGAGTCATTGCGTGAATCGAGGACATTTTCCGTGTTCAGTAGGATTCGCGCACGTCAGGCAAGTATCCGTGGAGCTCCCCGGGCTTTTCCGATCGAAAGCGCTGCGGATCCCTAGGGAGAGCGGATGCTCGTCAGAGCTGCTGTCAGAACAGTCGAACGATATCGAGAGACACCGGGCAGCGAACTACGAAGTTCCCGGCATGCTTGGATCAGCTTTGCTATATCACCGCGTAGGGGGAGTATTTCCTCATCAATCATGTTTGAAGCGAACAATCGTCTGTCTAGAGTTCTCGGGTTGAAAGTGCCGGAACGATGCTCCTCAATGAGAATGCCGCTTGACTCGAGCCGTCTGGAATTCGCCCTTCCGCGGGAATTATTCCGAATTGCTGGATGGAGAAATACAAGCTCCGACCCCGGCTCGATGACTTTCTCGACGACCTATGGGTATCGCCGACTGAGCGGCGCTCCAGATAGGGTTCACCTTCGGAAAGAAATTCCGACCCAAAATCGCTCCGAAACAAAGCGTTTGTCAAGCTCTACCTTGGATCGAAGCTCAACTTCCTCCTAGATATTTGTGCTGAACAATTCGCAGATCGGAAGCGTATTTCAGCATTATGTCACTGTTCTGAGAAATTTCTACTCGTCCGGTAGGCACGATCGAAGAGTTCCTGACCCTAGCTCAATCCCCGTTTAGTTCCCGGAGTCAACTCAGTTTCCAGTCTAGATCCGGGGGACAGACACGAATCGAACGCATTTTCCGGAGGAGTGGAGTAGAATTGGGTTCTCGACTACGTCATCGTCTTCGGGTTCGGAGAGAAGCATAAGGCCTAACAGGAGCCAACGGAATTTTCGCCTTGTTTTTTCCGCACCGAAAGCGAAAAACACTCGGGTATTAGCCGTGAATGAACTGTACCGTGGCTCATCGAAAGCTGCACTGAAAGAATCTCCCGCAACAGTTCCCTCTCTTAGGGGCCCCTTTTATACGACTGTTAGCCAGACACAACCATCAGGACCGCAGTGGCCAATGCTAGTCAACGGGCGACGATATTCGTGTTCCCATCCGTAGTGATTGCTTTGTGCCCTGATCTTTATTGTGGATTCCTACTAAGGATCGGCACCGAGATACTGGAAGACAAGTTCTCCATGAACTAGCTGCTGCATCCGGTACGAGCTGGTGCAATTATCCAGGTACGGGCACTTCCACGAGTTGAAAAATGAACCGCCTGAATCGCATTTCTAGTAAGGTGCTGCGGCGGTTGTGCAGAATATGATGACGTTTGTGCGGTATCCATAGCCCTCGAGCTCCAGAACATCTGTGTTAATTGAGCAATAGGGACTCGTGGGACGCGAGTCTAGTCTCCATGATTGCCGGTGCTCATCATGCTTGATCCGTAATTTCTATCAAATTTCCACTGCAAATCGTTCCGGGGACGTCTGTTCCATACGGATGATCTCCTCTCGTTTCCGGGTGCGAATCTCGGAGCTCATCAGGCGCTTGAAACATTGATTCCGAATCGGGATTCCGAATCTTTCCTTATGTACATAGATTTGATTCGCTGTCTCCTGCGAGGCCTCTAACCCATAGTTCTCGAACTAACTGGAAATATTGTCCCAAACAGATGCAGAGCGTCCGCTGAGAGGCTCGAAGTGTCAGGACGACGGAGCTCGACTCACAATCAGGACACTTTTTCCTCTAGGACGATGCTCGGCGTTCAACTTCTCGGTGGGAATTCGAATGGTGAGCATGTCTTGACAATCTTACGTATAATACGAATCCGAACGAGGTAGGCTTTTTTTCCCTGCTTATCGGTTTGGTGAGGAGTACTCCCAGCGACGCTCATCCCGATCTACCACCAACCTCAGAACTCGGAATATCTCGATATGTCCCATGCCGTCACGCCAGCTCACGGTAACGGGAAGCGGGGAGACGATTGTGCTCTACTGCCTGGAGATTCATGTGCGGAAACCCTTCCGAAAAAGCGGATGGATTCTGATCCGATGCAATGACGTCATTGAGGAATTTCGTTTAGCTTGCTAAGGATATCCAAGCCGGGCAGCAAAAGAAGAAAGAGGCCAACGACGAAGGGACGCTTGAACCCTCCTCTCGCTCACAGCACAAACGAAATGCACAGTAGAACCCGCCGCAATCGCAAACGATCCAATTTTCCGTACGGCGCTTCGAAACAGCTGATCGGAACAACACGTGTTTTCTGCGAGCAGCCTTGCATGCTCTGCCCGCTCGGCTGACCGAGAGCAGCTCGTGGTGAGCACGTGGTGTTCAGCTTCCGAATATTCAAACATAAACACGCGCTGTGGGAAAGGGCACACCTTTGGAAAGAGCCGACTGGTTCTTAAAGGGTCATGGCTCTGATCCCGAGAGTTTTCGCTTAGTCATGAGCGGCGCGCGACTCTGCGTTCGGTCACGCGATGTGCTCACATTGGCGAGACGGCCGGTCAGTCGAGTCATGCTCCCTGTCTGGAAGCCAGATCGGGTCGGGATTTTGAACCAAGTTTCTGGATGGAACTGCGGTAGCAGCCCTCGTCCACCCTTGAAATGTTTACGACTGTCGGAACCCCTCTGAAAATGAATGTTATTGGCTTCGCTGGTTCCAGGATCCCACTTTCGAGCGCATGTCTATCGCATTGACGCTAAGAGCAGACCCGATGACGAATTTCGATAAGGGAAAGACGCTCTCATTCTTCGTGGTCGGCAGAATCGAGGAGTGGTCCTTTCTTATAACAAAACTTTTTTTTGGTTCATTAACATTGAGTTATTGAGCTATCAATGTATGACTCCTGAAGCTCCTCACTCCCATTCGTTTTCCCTCTCTTTGTTAATTTGCTTCAGATTTTTTTCTCCACTCGACGTCTCCGCTGGAGCAGGCCTGGGCGTTGCCTGCCGGAGCGAAGGAGTCACGAGAGAGGAAGTTATGCTTCAACTTCAAATTACTCCAGGAATCTCTAAGGAGAACCGGTCAAAATCTCTCTCGGAACTTCGCCGAAAAATCCTCACGGTTTCCCTGATTGTGAGGTTCAGGAGGAGTCGTACGGATCCGATCGATATTTGCGGATTTATTAGCTGATGATTCATGCTCAGCCGCTCATTTTGCCGCGGATTATTCCTCGGCTGGGGCACGACGACCTCGGGTCTGATTCACAGAGGGTACCGAACTTGTATGGTTCTGATCAGAGGCCGGGGCCATAGAGGCCTTCAGTTCATCTTCGATTTCGGGAAGGTCGCTTCCACATCCCGATGCTGTCATTCCGAGTCCGGAATAAATTGGTCACGCTGTCTTGTTTACGTATCATCTTTTGAATTGTGAGCCTGGTTTCCGTCGACCAACCCCGCTGAGCATCCTCTCAAACTTCCTCTGACTCTTTCAGTGCTAGACTCTTCGGTATTGAGCGGCCGACTTCCGCCAGATGATGACGATGACGATTCGATGGATTCCGAGAAAGCTCTGGAACTCATCCGGTAAAACTTAGATAAGACCTCGTCCTAGTTTGTCTTTCGGTCCTCGAAGGCTTGAATATTCCACGTCGAACAGCTCCATCAGACGGTTCATCTATCAAGCACCCCCATAAACGGAAGACGCCGGCTACCCATGTAGCACTCAGCTCACGAAACCATCTTTCGCAGGTGCGCTATCGAGAGCGACTCGGATGTCGACTCAGACGATCTGGAGTGGTCGGCAAGTCCTGCTAGAAGAGACGGTACCGACGGAAACTCCAATCACACTCCCGAAGGTAGAGAGCCTTATAGCCCTTGTCCGATCCGCCGAATTTTCGCAGCAGAGGCTACGAACCCCCTTCGACGGAATCTGCCGATGGCTCCTCACAGTATACGTATTCGGTTCCAGACAAATCATCGGCGCTACCGGAAAGAAGAGATTCACCCGAACGTAAAAAGAAACAAGAGGAAGAGATCATAGTGAAACGTGAAGTGAAGGTGAGTTGAACATGAGGATTTCTTAGCATTCTCCCAATGATGAATTCTCAATGTTTGCGAGAGATTTCATGCCCCCCCCTCTATCCCCGTGGCATCGGAGCTTTTGCCTTCAGGTCAAGGGGAAACGCTATGAAATATTTTCTATGACGTTGAGTCTCGTTTCTCATTTCTCCTCAAATTATGGTTTTGCGTCGGGAATAATCTCGATTTCCGGATTCCCGAGAGCCGTGCGACGCGTGTCCTTCGACGCGATATATTCCGATGGAGATACGAAGCTCTTAATGCCTCTAAATCCCTGTCATCGTTCATCTAAACAACGCGGCGTGTTCGGTGACGCACTCTGAGATACACACAAGTGTTGCTGGACCTTAGGAGATTTTTATGCATATTTGAGCATCGTCAAGCAGGTCATCCAGGGGACAAACGTTCACCGGGTTTTTGCTCTCACGGATTTGTCTCCGCGTGACTTCCGTCGAATGTTCCAGCCGACGAGCGAATGGAGATCGTGAGCTGTCTTCTTCGCAATGTGCAGATCAGCCCAGATGGGAGACACCAGCGTGAAGTGCAAAAAGCCTCATCTCGAAGTTGATCTTCTGTGAGCTGGCGTCGGAACCTCATCTAGGCCCTTCTATCGCAAGTCTACCCATCTCAGGCCTCGCGACGGAATCATTCAGATGCGAGCCCGGAGACTAAGCCCGTGAACTCGTGTTCTCTTTGTCGCACTCGTCTGTCGAATCCCTCCTGCACCGCAGCCCTGTCGCTATGGTTCAGGACCAGGGGCGTATTTTCTATCGTATCCGATACCATTCGGTCCCGTTGTAGCTTCCTCTGAGAGCTCGACATACTGTGACTCGAGGTTCGGATTAAAATTTCGACCGTGCACCTGACGGGAGTTTCTATTTTGACGATCACGCTTCAAGCCCGGAATGGTGCATGGAGACGTCCACATCTGTCTGTAGCAGAACGACACTTGACGGAGAAGACTCTCGCGATGGGGAAGACCAAACGCAGAGACATCGTTGGCAGCTCCAGGAATGTGGGTGGCTCCGGGGTCCGGAACTTAGCGACATAGAGTCGGACTAGAGAGCAGAGCAGTCGCGGTAGTCATTCTCAGTGCCTTAAAACAACTCATTTCTTGCAGAGAGAGGAGCCCGAAGTCAAAGTAGAACCGAGCCAGGAAGCCGAACCGATGGTACATCGCAGGGATGAATTTCCACCGAATTTGATGGAATTCTCGCGGATGGTTGCGGAAAATGAGTTCACCGCAGCCGCCGCTGCGGTCGCCGCCGATAGCCGTGGGTTGACAGCGAATATTCATTTATTACTTCAGCAAATTCTTCGTCTATGAAATCAGTTATTGCTCGAATTGCAAACTTTTGCAATGTTTCGATGGATCTCCTTGCAGTCAGCGGAATGAATGCTCTGGATTTCCGTCGGTTCGCAATGCTGGGGATTCCCAATCATCTCCTGCTGGAGTCAGCAGCAGCAAACATTCACCAATCCTTGGTTCACGGCTTGCATCATGGCCCATTGGTACGTGGAGTTAACGGTCCACAGCCGCTCGGTTCTCCGTTCCGTGGCCTATCTGAGAATTCCTTATCTGATTTTGTCCGACAAGATCAGGCCAACACTTCAATGAGAGATTTCTTCGAATATTCAAGGTGTCGCCGATGATGGATCAGAGAATGTCTCCGGCCGCAATGGCGAAAAGCTTCGGACGACTCCCGCTATCTTTAGGGGGTGGGGGAGGAAGCGGGCCTGAGAAGAACCGTTCGGGTCTTTCAGGGCTCTCAGCATTTCCTCCGGTAGACAAAGAGTCCGAACCCACGCCCAGAAAAAGACGATTGGGTGGTGGTGGGGCCTCTACAGTGAATCAGCTCATCGACGACAACGGTACGGTGGATCGATCGAGCGATACTCTCTGGTCCTGACGAGCTTTCATTCTTCTGCACATCTTTAAGATTTACCGAAGTGGGGTAGAGTCGAGGATGCACGTTCCTTCTGGATAATAATCCGTCTCGCCTTGATCCGCAGCGAAATGCTCGTCGACGTCGGGCCCAAGCGAAGAAATAACCGATCTCGAAGAGTTGGAACAATTCGCCAAAACCTTCAAGCAGAAAAGAATTAAACTCGGTTTCACCCAAGGTGATGTCGGCCTCGCAATGGGCAAACTCTACGGAAACGATTTTTCCCAAGTAAGCGTTGGGACTGTCCCCCAGTTTTCAAGAGCAGTATATCTGCCGATTGGAAAGTCTTTGTCGCGCTCCGGTCCGGATGAAGTTCTCATAGCGATCTCCCTCTTTCAGACAACGATCTCGCGCTTCGAGGCACTGAATCTCTCATTCAAGAACATGTGCAAGCTCAAACCGTTGCTGCAACGGTGGCTACAAGACGCCCACGCTTCTCTGGGCCCTCAGCCTGGGGCGTCTCATGCCGCTGGTGGAGCATCTAGTGAAGTGGTCCCTCCGGCGGCTCAACAAACTCAACCTTCAAACCACGGCGGCCACGCCCATAGCCTGCAGCATAGAGTCGGCACGTTCGACAGAGGACCTTCAGTGGTTTCCTCATCGCCAGCGACTCCTTTAGCATCGGCGGGCATTGGCGCCGTAGGACATGTAGGCAGTAGGTTGATGTTTTGAACGATTCAAGGAGATACGCAGTCCAGGTGTCCCGGTTCCAAAGGCATCGCCCAATGTCTCCGATTCTCTAAGAGAAGCCCATGATTATGAAACTCGAGTCTTGAATTTCGACCGGGAGGGGGCTCGTGCCCTCCTACGCCTCTTGAGCCTATCGCCCGATATCCGGAAATACGGCTGCTCCGGTCATCTCGAATCTGCGGCTCAAATTTCTTCTCCTCGCTTTCAGACAGCAATCCCGGTGGTAACAATGTGGGAGGAAACCCAAGTGGTAAACAGTCACTTCAGGCAACTGGAGCCATGGCTTCAGCAGGTGTTCCCCTCTCGTCCGCTATCCTCCAAGCCGAGTCGATTTGCCGGCGCCGTAAAAAGCGAACCAGCATCGAGTCCGCAGTGAGGGTGGCTCTGGAGAGAGCATTTCTGCTTAACTCAAAACCGACGTCCGAGGAAATTGCCGCATTGGCCGATAGACTCGCTATGGAGAAAGAGGTGGTTCGCGTGTGGTTCTGCAATCGTCGTCAGAAGGAGAAACGCATCAATCCGTCTCTAGCCCTCCAGGGTGGGCCTTCGTCACCTCCCGCCAACGTGGTCAAAACACCCCAACAGCACCCTCAGCAACTTCAACAGGGTAATTCTTGTGTTCTCAATCGCTCGATCTCGCTGGTGATCGATAGCGACCCATCGCATTTCCTAAATCCTGTTCGATCGCTTCCAGGCCTGTGCATGTCCGATTCTTCGGTTCTGGAGAGACACGGGGGTTCTTTCAGTTTGCATTCTGCCAGCGGACTCGTCGGCGACGACAGCGACAGCGACCACTCTGACCTCAATGGTGGCGTGCCTTTAGACTAGGCTCTCGTTGCTGCTCCTGTTGTTGTTGCCGCTGCTGCTGCTGCATTGTCTGCAGTGATCGCTCGGAGCTCCATCCCGAGCCGGAGCGTGCTGACATCGCACTCGAAATCAGTTCCGATCATCAAGCGCATTGAGAGAATTCCCGTTCGACGCCCTGTAAACACGATTCAAGGCACAGGAACGCACATACATACTCGAAACGGAAGGAAACGTTTTGTCGTTCGCGCTTCCGGAAACTTAGCCGACTCGATGAACATCCCGTCAGGCATAAACAAGCATATATGAATCTATTGTCCCTGAGTCGATTGAGATATTCTCCGGAAGACTCCACTCCCGTCTGCTAAACCATTGAGTTCACCAATCATTTCTGAAATCATCGGCAGATAAGGGATAGGGATGCCGCCCCTCCGGTTGGCACCTGAATCATCGTTTTCTCGGATCCTAATATGATTGTCTAGATATTCGTATCTTCCTCCACGACTCATAAAAAAATTCGACCAATTCCGCGACTAATTGGTAATGCTCCGCATCGACTCGGAGTGAAGGACACGAGAATATCCTCACCGAATACCACGCTACACGCCAGCAATAGAATGCAATTTTCACTGGGAGTCGATCCAATACATATTGTGCAGCTAGGTCCTAGAAATAATCGAATCTTAGTACTTTTGATGTTGATGCGAAAATCGCCTCATACGCGCAGTCCTGGCTTCTCGGTTGGCTATGACATGGCACGACATTCGCACGAGTTCTAGATGAATAATTCTTTTTCGGAAGGAGATTCGAACCCTTGCCCGGTTTCCTCGGGAATCCGGGGACCGCTCCGATGAAGGCTCCCATTCTTGGGAATGAGTTCCGTCTACCTCCAGTATTGAAAGCGTACGTTTGTTCAATTCATGACATCGCACCAGAAACAGAGACGCTCCTCTCGCGAAAGGCGCTTAGCGGGCTGTGAACCAAGTGAACGAGTAATTTAATTGTGTCCAATCAGTACTATGAACACAAAGATAATATTAATGTATTCACGCAGTATAACAATGAATTAAAATAAAATGATACCCGGTGCAGTCAGAACTTTTCTGTTCTTCAATCCATGGGTCACCTCACACGTTTCCCGCTCCAGGCAGACGGATGAATCCAGCTGCGAGGGAGCAATCATCGATGTTTTCTAAGCGTCGAACAGTCGGCTTGGCTTGGAGCTTAGGAACAGGTTGGGATCATTCCTCAAAACGTCATTTCTTGCTTCGAAATCTCATACCCTTGTGGCAGCGTGTCATCAGTCATTGGGTGGGGGAGCAAAACCGATTTGAGGTTTTCCACATTCACACCCCAATCCCCCAGATGAGCGGAGGATCGCTCAGGGAAATGTAGGGGCCGATGAGCGCCCACAATCATCAAACCCAGGTCTGGATTCTTGACTCCAGAGGAAGGATGGGAACCTAACCTATCAAAATCATGCTGGAGGACTTGACCGCGGTATGATCGGAGAAAACATGCCAGACCGATCTACTGGGTTCCCGAGACATTTCCTAATGAGCGTCCACGACTCGGTCTTCTGAGGGCTTCACTAAGTCCATGCTCCGTGTTTTTTCGAATGGAACATTCGGGACACCAATGATCGAATGAGAGCCCGCCCCGTCACACTGGCATCGACTGGGAATGCCGGAGAGCATCGTAGTGCACGTCCAAGCAGGGAGGAAACAGCCAACAAAGTGACGAAGAAGTCGCCTGTCGTCGCCGAGCGGGTTGGCCCGAGAAAGTCGTCACAGTAGCAGCGACAGAGGTGATTGAAAGGGAACGATAACAAACTTTTGCGAAGGATCTTCGATCTGCTATGCATGCGAGGCGCGAGGATACTGAGCGAGAGCCAAAAAAGGACGATCGAAAAACTTCAGCGCGCGCTCTTTTCGTCGATGCGGGGTCAAAGATTGGCACCTTGATAGAGCTCCGTTCCTCGATTCTTCAAGCTCGTCCCTATATTCCTTTGTCCGCCTCCTTCGAGCGAAGCTCTCGCTTCATACGTTCGAGAGGAGCGATGTCATTTTCGCACAAGTTTCAAGCTCCGCATGCATGTTTTAGAAGGAGTTTGATTATCTATTCTCGAAATACCTGGCGATAATTAAATTTCACCAGATTTCGATGCAACGGCCCGCTTTCCTAGTGCTTCAGTATTGCTCGATATTGTGCTCTTCGTCATGAGGATAGCTTCCCTGCAACCGTCGAGCCCCCGTCCCTCTCGTTCTTCATATCGAGCCCTCGAGAAGGCAAACTTGATGAGACATAGGAGACGCTTCCGATACGGTCTGTCATGACTAGCCGCGATCTTGAAACTCGATGTCTCACAAACCCTTCGAGAGAATCGAGCCCTGTGTACACCACAAGCAAGCAGCACGTGCAGTGGAATACAACCACAAAGCGACCCACAGTTCAAGCCTCGACCCTCGGAGAATCGCCCAAAGGAGCAACCGCCGTGGTAACTCGACCAGTCAGTGGGAGGCACAGGGACACGCATCCACAGGAGCTCACCTCAACGACAACGACGGACGTGTGGATCCAGTTCTCGTCGGCAACTTGATCTTTGGTGGTGCACGAGCGAAGATAACGAATTTTGCGCTTGAGTGATTCGAAAGTAGCCTGCTGATAAGCTCCGAGAATCCGCTGACTCGCTAGCGAGCTTGCGAGTGGAGGTCTCTTTGACGCTTCCACCCTCCCCGGGATGCATGCGACTCCGAGCCATCCTTGGGATGCTTCGAGAACGCACACCGTGGACATGGATTTCTAGACGACGGGGACTACGTCGATCTAGTGAGAATAATGGTCGATGGAACTCTCCGACGCAGATTAGTTCGAGACCTGCTCCCCATCAGCAATGGAGATGATGATATTTGGCGCCTCGGTTTCAGAAACGGCGATAAAATGCAGTGAAAGTCCGAATTGCTTAGAGCTCAGAGAACCCTGCAGGAGATCATGAATAATTGCATTGTCGTGGTCTTGCAGGTGAATGACTCCCTCTTGAACAGCAAAGAAAGTCGACTCCCGACTTCCTCCAGAATTCAAGGAATTCGCTCAATGTTTTTGGACGGTGAATCCTTGTAAGATCGACATGATAGATAGATTGATTGATTTATAATAATGTGCGATGTCAATGACCATTAGAAGGACAATACTCGATTCTCCAACATCGAGGCATTCTCGAGGAGACTCTTCAATACTGTCCGTCATGCGTCGTGGAGCGGTCGGAAGCCTCAAAGAAGGTTATCGACACAATCATCAAGGTCCAGGTCAGTCGGGGAGTCACCGAACGATAATTTGGGAAACGAGCAGGAGAGCGGTGCAATGAAGAACCGAAGCCTCTCCAATCTCCATAGCAATTGCTTGTCTGGCCTGTTAGCTATGCAGTGAAGCATCTTAATTACACCCCGCGTTTGTATGCAAAATAGCTCAGCAAAAGATCATTGCTAGTTCGGTCGTGTCGTCGTCCTCCCTATCGCTGTTCTCGTCGTCGTCGTCGTCTTCTTCGCCGCCGCCGCCGTCGTCGACGACAAGAACAAAAGCCGTCCCGATTGAGAGGACAAATATAGGCTATTCCTGGCGTCCGAGAGCTCTCACGGAGGAGCTAACGGACGACGGGGGAGAGACTCCGGAAGGTCTCCTCCGCGAGGGCTCACCTTGATCGAGTTCGAAGACCACCGAGACGCGGCTCAAGGAAAAATGACCACCTGCACAAGAGACTAGCATTGGGACAGGACGATTCCTCCGAACTTCCTCTGCCGGGTGTTTTTTCTCGAAACTTTCTCAGAGATTGATAATGCGACACTCCGATTAAGAGTCGACATTGAGGAAAAAATCCGAATCGTCGAGAGATTTGGAGCGGAAATCGAGGCCTCTGAGGTTAGAGTTCCTCTCTCTGCTGGAATTTGAATTCCTCTTCCCGTAGATACCGACAGTGCGGGACGGTTGAACCGGGGCCTCAGGTTCCGGGGATGGGAGAGGAGAATGGATGGGGGACGTTCGCGGAGCGAAGGAGGCAGGAGCGATGCTGCCAACGGGGCAACGTGAGCTCGGTGAGCTTCCGTCGAGTTTCCTGTCTCTCCGAATGTTGTTACGTAGTCTGCAGAACAAATTAATGCTGATTGCCAAGTGCGAATCACAAATGAGTCACATCATTGCCTCCAGCCTTTGCCTCAACCTCGAGTCTTTTAATTGAGACTTGCAAACGACTTTTGACAGCTTGCCTTACTCACCCGGTTACGAGCAGGATGAGTCGGCCCGAAGATGAATGGGTAACTGCTGAGCCACGGGCGACACTCTGAGGAGGGGGAAATAGAAAAGAAAGCTCAATCGTTCAGGGAGAATGAATCATCAGGAATAACAGGTGACGGGCAAGTTCTCGTACCAAGAAGGACTGTCATCAACGATGATCGGCTAAGCCTGTGCCCCACAGATCCAGTAACTGAATGTGGAAGAGCAGTTTCCGAAACCTCCTCCGGATGCGGTCAAGCAACTCGAGGTCCTTTTTGAGTGTAATTCTCCTTCAGGAGTTGAGCGAATCTTCGTCCCATGACACGACGAATGGGTATCGCTGGTTTTTGAGGGAATAGACAGCCCGGAGTAAGAAAGGGCAGTATGAATCGAATGGTCCCGTTGGACACCACGAGGAAGCCCCGAGGAAAATCCTGACGGACGCCTCGCGGAGGTGACTGCGATGGAGAGAATGGAGGATGGATATAACCTGGCCTTCTAGCGGTGCGGCGTTTATTCTTCCCTCAAGAGTGCTAAGTCGACGCGGGCGTCGATTCGTCGGACTCCTCAGCTGAATGACGGTCGAGGAATGAGGGAGAGAATCTTATTCCGTCGTCGACTCTCTACCATTCCTCGGTCACTGACAGCCGAGTCTAGGCGTAGGGCCCAGACTTCTCCTTCACGGCCTCCATCCTACTTCAGATCACCGATATTGTCTTCAGGGGGCCCGCGACTGTCCATCACTACAAGTGGATTTCCCAGTTCGCGGAGCGACTCAGGCAGGGGTCCTTGGGCTGCAATTGGACGGCCCAGATCGGTTTTCGAAGGGACAAGCTAACTCCAGTTTACGCGGATGAGGATTTGCCTCGTCGCCAGAGGACTCCCATCGCCGGATCGAATCGAGGCTTCCGAATCTGGTCCATTTGTCGAGACGCTCTCGGGCTGAGATTCAAACGGAGAATGGCATCGAATCCGTCCAACATTGCTGTCTTGAAGGCTGCATCCCTGGCTTCGGAGTTCAGGGAGCGTGGTCTTGAGCGGACGCGTACCGGGGGAAACCAGCGAGTAGCAGAAGGAGTGCACTTCAAGTCATTGGGATCTGTGAAACATGGGAACGCGGAAATTCCGAGAGGCTCAGTTCGCAGGAAAAATTCAGCTCCGCAATCTGCCTCGACTTGAGAATCCCTCGACGCAATCTCTTAACTCCAGAGTTCAGACTGGGGACGGAACGCGTCGTGAAAATCCGAACGGCGCACCATTGAGAGACGGCTAATGGATTTCCCCTTAGATGTCTTTCCGGCAGTAGTTGAGCAGTTCGTTTCATCCGCTGTTGACCTTTCCCCGACGCTACCGAGGAATTGCTTGCCTCTACCAGGTACTCTCCGCAAGATTTCCTCCCCTCCGGTCGCGATTTTTCCTTCCTTTCTGCTGTTGCGATGCCGTAGTGATGATCATGACTTGCACAATCTGTGGGGGAGGAATGAATGCGATTATCGGAGAAGCGGAGGGGAGTAAAACTCCCTGTTCCCTAAAGAATTATTTGCTCGCTTTCCTGCCGCGTCAACATTCACTTCTGTAAAGGGTTTAGGGTGTCTCTGACTCTCTGAGATGCCTCAGTCTAAATCATAAGAATCTTAGATATGCTCGTCTATCAGCTCATGGTTTACGAATGATCTCTAGTCGCTCCACTCGCCTTAGGCACCCCTATTGCCTTATCCTCGGTTCAAGGAGGTACTATAGGAAACTTACGAATATTTGAGCCTCGCTTCGCATGAATTGAAAACGTTTTCCGCTCGTCCGATGAGCCGGGACGGTCATTTTGACTGGCTCTGCTCTCTTATCTGAAAGAGAGGAACGACGGTGTTTTAGCGGTATATTTGACTTGTTGAGTGATCCTGAATCCTGAGCCCTTCCACCAAATCCACACAAATCTGGCCGAGCTGGCGCCGTCGCGTGCGGGCAGTCGCTGATCGGAGCCCGCTCTGTTTTCTGGAAACCGAGTGAACCGCCTCTTCTCGATACAGACACTAGGTAGATTAGAAGTCTAGGCCTCCTGCAGAGCGATTAGGTAGTGTTTCTGCTCATACTCGCGAATCCTATATCGTATAGCTATAGACTCCTGGCCTCCCGGCGATTCGAGCGGAGGGAGGTAGAGACATTCCGGTTCCTAGCTGGGAACCTCAACGTCGAATACGTACAACCTGTTCCACTTCGGAACCGCTGCAAGATCTCGGGAGGAGTTGAATTCGTCGAGATGATTTCGTCCTAAACTCCTGGCGGAAGCATTCCAGGTGGGGCGGTCTTCTGTACAAGACATTGAAGTCTACGGCAGCTTCCTCAAGCTTTTGAACTCAGCGAAACAATGTCCAACATCAAAACGCGTCATCCAGCTGGAGTCGGAAACTCTCGCCGTGGAAGACTTCGAAAGTTCCGAAGAGCTGGAACGCCACCATGAAACTTGAGCATGAGGATTCTTGCTGGTAAGTTTGCCAATCGCTCAAACGTCAGCAATGCTTCCTCCTCGACCTCCCCATGTTCCTATTTCTCATCCTCCCCGCTGTTTCCGTAGTTTCCGCTCCGAACGCCTGGACATCCGAGACCCCGAGACCAACAGCTAGCCAGCCTTCGGGACGAGGAAAAACAAAGCTGTCACTCCGAAGGAGGCCTATTGAGAACGGCGGGTCTGCCCGTTCTGCATCCGAGCTCGTCCCCCCACCCCTGGTGGCGGCTCCCGCGCCTCCGTCGTCTCCCTCATTCTTCTCTGGTCGTCGTCGTCGTCGACGACGGCGGCGGCGGCGACAACAACAACATATTGAAGTGTCGCTCGCTCGGCTCACTGGCTCTTGGTGAGAGTGAGCGAGTGCCGCTGCGTTGCCGTCACTGTTCGTCGAGGAGGCGGTCGGGCAGCCAACCGAAATGGGTGGATCCCCGGCCATAGGCCCCGCCCAGCGGCCGCTGGCGCCGCTAGCGGCTCTCTGCGGAAACAAGCCGCCACGGCAGAGGCTCGTGCCTGCTCGTCTAGCAGAGAGCAACCGTAGCCTGTAGAGAACAGATCTGAGGGAGCAGACATAGAAAACAGTCTACCTCGTGCTTTCTGCCGCCGTCAACACTGGATTAAGTGAGGGTGCGTTCATCTGCACAGATATCCTGCCTACCCCAGTGAGTTGACGGTCAGTCAGTAGTGCTCAATCGAATCGGCCTTGAGGCGCAGACCATACTCTCTGCTCGCTCTCTGTTCCTCGCTCCTCTGCATCGAAGCCCAGCCCAAGTCGGAGAGATCGTCGTCAAACTCCATCATCATATCCCACGTCAGGATCAGCAGCTGCTGAAACCGCGGGAACTCTGAGCGGGACGTCAGTGCGGAAAACAGAAATCGGTTTCGTGAGTGCGGGAGGTGTCATTGTGTGACTCTGGTTGAAGCTCACGACTCAAGAGTGGCGCGTGATGGGAACAGATACTGTAATTCGATTCGAGGAGGCCGGAATCCCCAATCTTCATTGATACTTATCGTCTTCAAGTTCTCGGCTTGTGAATTTAAGATGCTCAAGCGAGTTCCGAACCTCCACGTATCAAGGGACCACTGACGAGCTCGTTAGGTTTGTGTGCTCTTCGGATGATTCACGAAATATCCACTTTGAGCTGTGAAGTGAATTTGATGAAAATCCCCGACGATTCCCGTCCGAAGGTTGAACAATGAAGATGGTTCACTGCGCTGGTTGCGAACGTCCGATTCTAGATCGATTTCTGCTCCATGTGCTCGATCGGTCGTGGCATGCAAAATGTGTCCAGTGCACGGACTGCCGCTGCAGTCTCATCGAGAAGTGTTTTTCCCGCGACGGAAAACTGTATTGTCGAAGCGACTTCTACAAGTAAGTGTGATCGTCCACCGATATATATAGCTCATTCACCTATATATCAATAGTCATTAGTCTCGAGGAAAGAAATCCGCCTGTAAGACTCGGGGTAGGAAATCCGTGGGAAGTACCGAACTGGAATCGGTTCCTTTCGTCGATTGGCAACTTTCGCCTACCCATGACGTGTCCCGTCCCAAATGAATGAACATATCTTTCGTCCTTCTCATAAGGATTTGATGGGATGCTTATTGAAAAATGTGTGGGCTCTTCCGTCTGATGACGGCACGAATATTTAATTCGCACCTTGATTTTGCAACGCTAGCGAAATTAATCGGGATCTTCAGTTCCTCCGAGCCGAAGAGAGATGAACGGGGAAATCGGATAAGCCACCTTCTCTCTCGGGAATTGGGGATGCTCGCTTGGGATTCCATTACCGGCCGATAGATCTCCGATGAGGGGCTTCCAGAATCGGCTCTCGGTGAAACAATAGAAAATAGAACGAAAACCACCTTTCGGTGGAAATGACGCCCGAAGCGCCGGAGTTGAATGCAAAAAAAACGAACTCGCTTTTAAACGTCACCAGAATACCTTCCTTCCGTCGTCTGTCCATCGATTTTCTGTCATTTGCCCCCGGATAAAAATCGAGCGAGCCAGTGAGCTTTTATCTCCCCTTACTAAAACATTACAAGCTTGACCAGAGCCCTCGCCGACGCGGATTTTTGGAGCGGCGACGTCGAGTTTTTGCTCTGACGTCTCTAAACTTTTCTCTCACTCAAGGTTGCGGACGCAGCGACTTCTTTCCCTTGTCGTTCTTGTTGTCGGTGGCGTCGTGCTTGACTAAAAATTTTGAACGCAAGTGCAGTCGGCTGTGCCCATATGCTTGTCAGCGCGTCCGCCGTCGGCGGTCGGCGCACACACTTACCAGAGGATTTAGGAAGTACCGAAATAACGAACGAGGACCTTCGTGCGACACCGGTAGATATTTTTTTCCCGATACCGCTCGGACTTCCCGAAGCGGGGAACAGAAAACTGAGAAGCTCCGGATATCTGGAGTCCTGTTCGGTCTAATGAAATGTCCTCTCCTCTCTCTCGGATCTGACGGCTTTGATGCGGCCGACGGGCAGGAAAGAAGAATGGGCATGCCACAGGTGAAGGGACCCACGGGACGGGCTCGACTTGTCACGTTCTGCGTTTGGCGAGCACTTGTGTCTCCTGCCGGTCCGCATCTCTCCAGACGACTGGGTGTTCGACCAGGTACATGGTCATTCGACTACGAGTCATAGGACATGTGCGCGAGAGTCCCCTTTTGATCAATGAGAGATGCGGGTTCGCATCTATCTAGCTGCAGACTGATTCCCCGGGCGAGTGAGCTAGTTTGCCTCCGCCGATTAGGACAACCGCGAGTTGTCCTGACGCGACAGCAGCGCATCATTTCGGCGCACAAGCTGAAAGACGCGCGCAGCAGACTGTCACGTTGACGATGTCTCACGGCGGCCGATGTTGTCGTCGCTCGATTTTTCAGCCCTGTGCTCTACTCTACATCGAACGGTAGGGGCCCTGCCCTGCCTACCCGGCTGCCTGCCCTTCCGTTGGCGTGCGTTGACCCCCGTTCATTTTGTCCCATCTGTGTGAGTAGAAGTTAGCGACCCTGTCTCTGAGTCTGAATTCGGTCTCTGCTTCCGCGGGTTCAATATTAAGTGCAGTTGAAAATTCGCATGACGATGCCACCTGTGAACTACTCGACGTAACTATGGTGTCAATTCTCTTTCAATCCTATGGTAATCCCTAACCCAGCGGCGATGACCATTATATCGAAGGAGAATTGCCTTGATCAGCGCAATGGATCACAGGCTGGATCTTATCGGAACCGTCTCGGTTTGCGATCTTCGTATCCGAATTATTCCAGATTCCGGATGGACTCGGAATTCGATTTTGAAATAATCTGACACTCATAATTCTGGGACTCTCAACGTCGCGTCGTCTTAGCTCCTGTGGCCAGTGTTTGAGTCGAGACGAGCAAGTACCTAATTTTTGGGGGATAAGTTCTTCAATGAAACCGAATATATCTCTTTCTGCTCGAGGAAGGGCCAAGATTCCAGCAGGGATATCGCTTTGGTCGGCGACCTCTCCCCTTCGGAGCTTCTCGGCCTCCACATTCAGTATATCCCATGTAATGCCTGGGTGATTAATGGTCGTGTGATGTCCAGCCGCAGTACCCTCGTAGCGAGTACATAGCCCCAGGGCAGAAAACTCAAAAACTTTCTCACCGCGCGCTACATCGTCAACAACAGTCGCTCCCAACAGCAGCGGTCGGGCTGACCTGTTGCGATCGCACCTTTCCAGCTCAGCATCCTTGCCTGGGTGGGAGACGAAATACGAAGCATACGGAACGTTCTTGGTACAGAAATGCCCACCTAGAGTGAGCTCCTTCATCCGATGGCGTCGACACGCCTTCTGGACTCGATGCTGGCGTGTATCGAGTAAATAAGAGAAAATAATAATTGAGAAGATCCAGAAGATATAATCGAATTAATATTAATCGGAAACTCGATCGCAGATCGGAAAACGTCCACGATGCGGTCTCCGAAGAGGGCCATGCGTGAAGCGGCGAGACTCTGGCATGTTGGAGGATGTCGCTTGAGTTGCTTCTGGCAAAATGTATGGATCCTTTTCACACCTAGCGCAGAAGCGACAATATAATCATGCAATAAATATGCACATACTCCAAAATCCACCCACAGCGGGGACCAGCGGCCCTCGCGGCGGGGAGTCAATTTGTCGGGACTAGGCGGCTTTAGAGGGATTGACTGTCTCCTCACTTCTTGGCCACCAGGCAGCGTCTATCGAAGGCTTTGCTACCCCAGCCAGCCGGATACCCGTCGCCGGTCCTCAAATTCTACTGACGAGGCACTCCGCAACACTGGAGTGGTTCCCGCGCGCGCGAGCCTGGCGGGACACGGGGTTCTAGCGCCGAAAGAGACGTTTTTTTTCCCTCGGACGAAGACTTGCCGCTGCAGAATGTGATTCTACGGTTCTCGTCAGCGAAAGGAGTCCGGAATATTCGCGTGCTCAGCGGAAGACTCCACGGTCAGGATATACATACAAACAACGAGCGACAACAGCTTCGGAGCGACCTCTACAACAAAGCGCGGCAATCATAGTGTGCCGCCGACTCCCTGCGGCGCCGGCTGTAGAGAGTTTGCATTGTTATGAGCATTGTTTGAGGGCTTACACTCGTTGAGGAGAAGACGAAGCGGCGGAGGAAAAAATGAGAGGACAAGGCTGCGGTCGGATACGACGGAGACCACGATAATCATGTTGATGTTATCTCGAGTTTGTGAGTTGAATCGGCTGTCCGATTCGCGACCGATACGCTCAAGAGGGACGGACGAATTTCTCTTACCGTATCGTGGCAGGTATTCATCGTGGGTGAAGCTCTGCGGAATGGAAGAGTCCGCGGAATTTTTTCTCGCGGATAGACGTCGATGGTGGATGGTTTCAAGAGCTCAGTCGCATGAGATCCTGGTATGACCGGGCGCCCCTGCGGAACGCGAGAGGATAAACCACGACCGAGGCAACGAAGCACGAAGACAGCTCGGGCGCCAGCTATCAAAGGGTTTCGGGACAGCTCACGAGTGGAGTCACTCCAGTGATCTTTCAGGCTTCAATCGGAGGGGCGAGCTTATCGAGCAAGCCCTCGGGCTCCGACGATAAGAACGGAGATTACCCATGGCTACTCTTGGAGAGTCGGTCGGCCAGTTGACTTCGTTCGGTGAATTTCGAATGCTCCTATTGCTTCCTCCATTGTCAGAGTCCTGCTCGGAAAAATCCAGATACGCTCATTATTCATCACTGAACAGCGACCGAAAAGCTCTGAGGGGTCTGTTTGGCTGGGGATAATTCGCTTCGTCCCGAATGCGGGATGAACAGAGATTCTCGGGCTTTGATTCGAGACTCGAAACGAATCGCTCAGAAATTTTCCCGGATTTAGACTTCGGAGCGTCTCCATAGAGTTCCCAACACAGAAACGTAACAGAGGCTCTGCCGACCGGGAAGTTTCCTCAAATTCGTGACGGTCCACTCTGCCAAACGGGCTTCTCTCTGCAAACTGGTCTTTGAGCCGGGTCCATGAGATTCGATAACGTTTCGGACACCGTACCAAACAAGCTTTTCGCGTTGCCATTGTCGCTATCTCCAAAGTGGCAGGCCTTTTTTTTCTTCCGATGCTTTCTGTAGGGGCAGGAGAGAGCGGGTTTTTCTGCGCCCTCACTCAGACCGTGTTTGTCCGCATGAAGAACGGTTCAATATTTTTACGACGAGGTGTTTATATCCTCATGGCTATTTTATGGGCTTGGTCTGCTTTGCGTTCCCCAATTTTTTTGTGCAATCATCGTGCCTCGTCGGATGCTCACAGTATTCCGGGACATCTGCTGCGGGAGGATGCTGTCCGGTACTCCGTGTACAGATAATGCCTTTGCGTATTTTACCCGATTCTTTTCTATTGAGCCCGGCGATCCGACATTCAAATTCGGATAAACCTCGATTTCTTCTATCCGATGTATTCGTAAGACTATCCGGAGACGGGAAAAGCACAGGCGAGGAAAATTCATGATTATGCATGAGTTTTGAGTATACTGAAGACGAAGGAGAAATCCGGTAGACGAAGAAGCGCAAGGCGTTCCAGAAAGCAGCCAAAGCTGATATATTCCCAGTGCCTCCTTGCCCTATGCAGCAGCCAAGGTCGCCGCGCCGTCTGCAAGAAGATTTCAGATTGTCTCGCAAGCGAAACAATGCCTTCTTGCGGAACACGATGAACAACAGCTCCAAAAGCAACAAGTCCACAGAAAAAATACTTGTTTAGATTGAGTATGCAGCGAACAGCCTAGAGAAGAGCAGCTCCGGGGACGAGTCAATCAAACACGAAACCGCGTACACAGACGGCACGAGAACTTGTGTATTACTCCCCCATGGATCCTCATCAACGCGGTCGTCGTTAGCACCATCGTCGCCGATCT